ACACCCGGTGAGCTTCAGGATCTGAAATAAGTTCATTAACCTTGAGAAGGTGTAAAGTATCTTCATCGAGCTCCTTTACATTTTTTGCATATGGTTTTCTTATGCTCGTTATATATGGATCTGAAGTGTAAAGTAGTGTATTAAACACATCTTCGTTTGTATCTATTCGAGAGCATTTCCGAGCATGGTGTAAGCGAAATTTTTTATAGTCCTTATTGCGAGATTCTTGAGCATCTTCTGAAAGTTGCCCAATTGGTAATACCGCGAAATGGTTTATGATACTCTCTCCGTGAATTAAAATTTTGTGGACAGATGATGGCATGTAATACCAACTATATTTACTCACGTATTTTCTGCAGTTTCCAGAGCATAATTACCAAATTTCTTACTATCTACCACTATACCAGATGACAAAGCCTGCAAAATTATCCTTGAAGATATGCGCTTAGAATGTGCTCCAAACCATATTCATTTAGCAAAATGGTGTTTTTTCTTTTTTTGCTTGATTCTGAAGAGTCTCCATATGACACACACGGTCTTCCTCGTTTACCAGAAGAAGTAGACGGTGTAGAGTCTATTGACACGTTTTCTGATGTTGGTATAGTTAACGAATATTCAGAATCCAACCAATTGGTGTTCTTTCTTAAAAAGGTATTTTTATTGCGTCCTGCTTCACTCCAGCGTTTATTAAACGAAGGGATGACATCCCTTTGAATATGGTCAATAATAAAACATATATTGACATCCGAAATTTGTTTTCCCTCCAAATATGTTGAAAGTGCCGCAGTCGTTTTTCCGCCTTCTATATAAGACACTATTAACTCACGTTTAGTACAGTTAAAAGTAGACATGTTGAATAATGAAATAACCGTACCTACTAGAGTACGTAGACGTAAAGACCATTGAAACGGTAATGGAGACATATTTTTTCACTGCCCTTTTTATATTGTTTCAGAATGTGGGAATTATTTCAGATATCTATTTTCTCACGGAAAATGACATCGAAATGATAAAACCTAACATAACAATATCACATAATTAATTTATAAAATGTACCACAAACTATTGATAATAAAAGTAAACTACGAAACCGCATTTGATAGCGATTTCCGTTCCCAGACTAGTATTCGATTTTTTCACATATCTCCGAAAACCGCAAAAAGCCGCAGCTAATTTTTTTATATGTTTTAGATGAGTAAACAACCTATAATTTAACATTAAATTCAAAGCATCGGTAAACAACTCTAAATGTTAAAAGATTCGACGAAGTTGAGGAAAAAAAAATATTTCTCCATTTTTTCTTTAAATTGGTTTTTAAATTTATATTCGTATTAAAAACAATCAATTGTATTTATTTCTAACCTATGATAAATGTGCTTTTCAAAAATATATAATACCTTATACCTTTCATTTCAGGTTTTAAAACTATTTCACGTTGAAAAACGTAAATGAAGAACTTAATATTTCCCAGCTGCCTAAACGTTTTACTTTGCTACATGAAAAAAAATACTTTTACGAAATAAAATATGAATTACGCTGCAGAATATTAAACTTCGACTTTTGAACTATTAAGTTATATTCATATATTACCCAATTTCAATCAGTAATAAAAATCAATTTTGATATGCGTTTGTTCTACCATATTCCACAGTGCGTCTGTCGGATCCAATGTAAAACATTCCAAAATCAACAACTACTAATAAATTAAAAATTAATTAAAAAAACATTGTCCAGCGGACAAAATTGTGAATCTAAACCATTCTCAGATCCCCTTGAACACACACAAAAAATTTCATCAAAATCGGTCCAGTCGTTTAAGAGAAGTTCAGTGACATACACACTCACAGAAGAATTATATATATAAAGATTTATAATCTACTTTAACATGCATGTAACAATAGACAATTTCAAATTATATTCATAGATTGTGATTTCAATGTTACCAAAATAATAGTACTTGTTTCACAGCTCCATATCAATTTGTATACCTCATTTAAGGTGGAAATGTAGTGATACTATCAAAAATTTTATATATCTACCATGTAAACACTAACCTACGTTTCACAAATAAAATTCTGATTATGATTCTTGAAGATTCTCAAGCAAAATGCAAATAGAAGCCCTTAATCACGATAATACAGTACTTCTTCGTTTACATCAATGTACTGGCAAGAGTCCAAAACGGTGAAACGCCCCGATTCCTATCTGATAGGGAAACAGGGCACCTTCCTCCTATCTGGGTTAATTGTATGATTGGAACGAAGTGAATAATATGACCTGCTCGGTCTAGGCTGCCGGTTTGTGACCCTTGGTTTTGTCGCAGTAAAAACGCAATGCGCACAGCTCATTGTGTTGAGCATTATAACGAACGGTGAACAGAGATTGCTTAAAACAAACCGGTCAAGTGCGTGTCATACTCGCGCACCGAGGGTTCCGTACAAACACAATTTAATACTAAAAGAAACGAAACGAAAAGAGGTAGTAACTTTAAAATTTTCAAAAATATTATTTATTATATGATGTAACTAAAAATTTAGGGTATTCGCAATTTTTCCTTTATCTGTACTATAAGAGGTTACTTCGTACCAAATTTCAAGATTCTAAGTTAACGGGAAGTACCCTTATAGATTTTGATTCTCGTGCCAGTTTCGAAAATTTACGGATATCTGCGGCATAAACGGCTGTATCCTTTTAATTGCGTTGGCTTAGAAGTTTGATTTTTTCACAGCTCTAAGGGACAGTAGACATGAGTATTAGGTATAAATTTCAGTTTGATACCTCCACGCGTTCCTGAGTAAAACGGTCTTGACAGACGGACGGACGTACAACAAAGTGATCCTATAAGGGTTCCGTTTTTTCCTTTTGAGGTACGGAACCCTAAAAAAATATGCTTTGCGCATCAACCAGAATATTATCAAATACTTACTGCTTTGTTAAAGTTTTATTTTTTGCACATAGCGGATATCAGAGATACCCCAAAAATATCGGGTTCTTCTTCAGTGTTCTACGGGCTCGTACAATACATATATAAAGTTGATGCACTGTTTTCGCGTCAATCGTTTGATACGCAATAAAAACTTTATGAGCTAGCACCAGGTAATCAGTATAAAACTCGGACACTTCAATATTCTTCTCAAGTGGCTGAGGTGTGCATATTATACTATAACATTTGCTTCTTTTACGTATATGGTCCGACATTGTTAAATTCGCCTCCGTATTTAAAATTCGCTTAATATTATCGAACTTGTTATTGTGAAACAAAAGTCACAAATCTATGTAAATCATAACTTAATTAGTGATATCGTTATCCTGCTGTACCTCGACTTAAAAGTGTTTAATTAATGGAAAAACACTACTGACATACGAAGTGTAAATAAAGTGTGTAACGATTTTATGCGCGAGATGACTCCCAAGTAAAGTGGAATAATAAAAGGGTTTCGCTGTGAATAGTGATTTTTATGATTATTATTCTATTTTATTAATGACAATTATTAAATTTAAGAAAGTCATATACCTGCCGCTTTTAAAAAGTACGTGCGGATACGGGGTGTTTGATAGTTTATGATATCTTAACTCGTAGGTAACAAAAAAAATCGATAAATTTAGTTTTTTTTTCGATTGATATCAAATTCGGATACAGAAAAAACAAGATTTTTTCTATTCGATTTTTTAGGTGAGGTAGTAGTTCCTGAGATAAGCACTTCCAACCAAACAAGTAAACTCTTCAGCTTTATAATATTAGTGAAAATATGTGTCATATAGTCAAAATAAAAAAAAACACCCAAACTTGCGGCTAAAGTGGCCAGTCAACATATACTATACAGTGAACATATACTGTACATATATAAGTATATTTATATAGAAAATACATATTAAACATCCATGACTGGAGTACAAATGCTCGTATTAATCACACAAACATCTGCCCCCACCGGGATTCGAACCCGGGATCTCTCGAGTCGGCGACACCATGAAACCCGGCGTACAAACCACTCGGCCACGGAGGTCCTCAATATAAAATATAATTTCTAAATTTTTCCACAATGTCTAGAAGTTCATCTTAAGAGACTTGTTAAACCATACAGTACATCAAATAGGTGCATTATCTTATCTAAACGGTCTGTTGACAAGAATACTTCCATCCATCGTGCGTGACTAACGCCGTTTTTTGTCACGCCAAGTCGCCAACATAGATCATTGTGCTCAAAGACTTACTTGGACAGTACATGGTTAATTTGTACTGCATATTGCGTATTAACTCTGATTCTTTTTTGTCTGTTTCCGTGCTATTAATATTTTCAATTCAATGACACATTTCAATGCTTAAATTTAAATCACGCACGGAAATGAACTGAAATGCAATTGTTTAAAATTAGCTTCATTATTTTATATTGTTTTATGATGAAATCTTTTGAAAAATAAAAATACATTACAGTTTTTGATCAAAATCAAGTATGTATTTGCGTTTCTTTTTACAAAATGATAAACTTAACATTTATATCTGTACCCTTAGCACGAACCAATATCGAATCGAATAGTTGAATTCGATCTCGATACGCGTCAAATGTGAATAAACTTTGTATGGATATTTGAACGGCGCCTCAACGGACGTGCAGAGAATTAAAAATCTTCCATACTAAACTTTTTTGACATTTGACGCGTAACGAGAACGAATTCAATATTGAGTCGTGCCAAAGTTACTTTAAGGATATAAACAATAATTACTCTGGAAACGTTCTTACTGGGATAACAATCCTGGACCTTTGGATCAGAAGGTGGAAGTGCTCCCGTCACCACAGACGTAGAGAATTGACTGAATGATACTCGCAGGAAAATTACATCCCTCTAAAAAGAGTGAAAAAACAGCCAATACCTAGACAAACATGACATGACATTCAAACAACTGGTCCAGGCATTAGGTTGGATACGAACCTGCGTCTTCCGCCATCCATGCGGATGCATTAACCGCTACGTTATCGATTTTTGTTGTTTGTTCACAGGGGAACGAAGGCGTGGTGCTTCAGGTAGAGCCGCTGCCTTACGCCGAGCACCTTCAGACTCGGACTGCTCCGGGGAAACGGCTTCCCTGTCGGCTGACAGCGGCGATCGAGCCGTGAGGCCGCCGCCGCCACCCACCCGAGTTACCAAGTCGCGCAGGTCAGCTTCCTTTATAGATAGTGACAAGCAAACAGGGGAGCAAAGAGTGCCTTACACTGTATGCCTTCAGACTCGGGCTGCTCCGGGGAGACGATTTCCCTGTCGGCTGGCAGCGGCGATCGAGCCATGAGGCCGCCGCCGCCGCCTACCCAAGTTGCCAAGTCGCGCAGGTCAGCTTCTTACGAGTATTAGAAGACTGTCTTACGCCGGGCATCTTCATACTCTGACTGCTCCGGGGAGACGGCTTCCCAGTCAGCTGACAGCGACGATTGAACCATGAGACCCCCGCCGGCACCCACCCGAGATGCCAAATCGTGCAGGTCAACTTCCTATATATGTAGTGGCAAGCAAACAGGGGAGCGAAGAGTGCCTTACGCCGGGTGCCTTCAAACTCGAACTGCTCCGGGGAGACGGCTTCCCTGTCAGCTGAAAGCGGCGATCTAGCCGTGAGGCCGCCGCCGCCACCCACCCGAGTTACCAAGTCGCGCAGGTCAGCTTCCTTTATAGGTATCGGTAAACAAACAGGGGAGCGAAGACTGCCTTACGCCAGGCGCCTTCAGACTCGGACTACTCCGGGGAGATGGCTACCCTGTCTGCAGACCCGCTCTGCCAAGTTGCGCAGGACAGCTTTTTTGGGATTTTGTAGTGGTTTCCCCCCATCTCGAACAGCTATTGAGCCAGTCCCATAAGCTGGCTGATTGGGTGGTTGGAATTTAGGAGAAGTCCTTGATAACCTCCTCAAAAAATCAACAGGCAGATTCCTGTGGGTACGCAACTTATTATTGGAATACAGATGATCCATGAACGATAGATCGAATGAATTAATCATAGAAAAACTAACTCACAAAATCGTAATTTCGAATAACTTAAATTCCTACACCTACTATTTCCACATCACTCGTCTCTGATGAATATTTAATTTTCTCCTAGCCTATTTAATGAGAATTCATCGTTTTTACTGAGCCCTTATTTTTTTCAGCAGCCGGCGACGTGGTAGCGAATGGGAGGTCTTGGAGGGACTGAAAGATGGGCAGCGGTTCGAGAAACGACCCGATGTCTTCAACGGTTACCTACATAAAAAGCGCAAATGGCCCCTGAAGGGGTGGCATAAGGTAAGCAAGCAGACGAAAAATCACATTTTAATCATCACTAAAAGACCTTGCCAATGGACAGAATAGTGAGAGCAGAGGGCCTAATCTACTACTAATAATATAAACGAAAATCGGCCGAAGATCGTCATATGAATGTTAAAATTTTCAACTATATTTCTAACCCCTCGTTTACACCAAGGTAAAACATCGACTCGACGTGAGACGCGACAAAAATCACTTTGTTACACAGGCCAAATCAGCTCTTCTTCTTCTTCTAACATACCAACAATCATGTTTCTATCACTTTTCTTTGTGTAGTTTTTCGAGTTGCATGAGGCTGTATGTCGTACTTAATTGTATAACATTGTATAAAATTTGTTAAATACATACAATGTATTATATATCTCCATTTTTTGTTCACTCTAAATACATGTATAGTAAATATAGTATACAATACTTGCATCTAACTTGATGCATAAACGCAATATGTGAAGTAAATAAAGTGGTTCATATTTGTAAGATACTAGTTGTGTATGCAGTGTGAACGAAATAATGTTTTAAACAGTCACAACAAGTATTCTATAAGTTTTGTGAAAAAGTAGTGTATGACTTGTTTCTTGTAAACGAGGGGTAAGCGCGCAAGGTTTATCATAAATATAAACATTGAATGACGAACTTGGTACCGATTGCCGTTGTTATTTTTGTAGTAGTAGTTGTGTCGCATTGTGGGTTGCTAGTTGATAACTATCCTGCAGATGCAGCCGGTAGCTACGGCTGTAAGTGCCTTCCGAAGTGCGAAGGAATTCGTAATTTTAAATTTTTTGTCACCCATTTATTGAGTGGCCATTGCGAAAGTTGTTTAACTCTTTACTATCTCAGACTGAACACGCTAGTTTATGCGCCATCAAAAAATCGCAATAAAATCTTAGTTTGATTAATCAAGGTCTTAGTTTTGAACAATTTGTACCTTGAGCACGTAGCACATGATTCTACATTGTTTAGGACGGGTCGTTAAATAAAATCGTCATTGTTTACGATTAAACTTTAACTGGAAGGTGTTAAGTGTATATAGGTGTGTCTACATTTTAGAATACTGAATAGTGTTAAGACCACTATATTACTATTCACAAGCGTATCTTATACTGTCTCTGATTTATTAAAAAATCCATGATCATCGTTTTAATGATTTTCGTTCCTAGATAAAGAAAAACCTTTTAACTTTGAAATATAACAATACATTTTATGTAGCATTACCAAGCTATTTGAAACATTTTAATATTTTATCACATAATTATTTTATATGTGGCAATAAGAGCAAAATATATTTATGTTTGTCCTGTCAGAAGAAATATGAACCGTGAAATCTTTTATTTTACCTGTTGAACGAAATATAGTCCGCTTTTAAATACATTATAAAAATATTTGAATATAAATAATGAGGGATTTCTGGAACGACGGGCAGCAGGTGGCAGCAATGAGATGAAAGGTCTACTCATCATTCGTCTAATCGCATGTGTCTTCGTAGTCTATGGATCAATTTAAATGCTCTTTCGATTAGTTCGCGCAAAAAACTTCATGATGAAAATTTTCATAAACTTAATTTTTTTCGTTGAGTATGTATGCTATTGGGCGCAGATGAATTTTACAGCGTCACCGGGTTTGGGGACGCCGAGATCCTTAAAGGACGACAAGCCGAGAATTGGCGAGTGCCTCTAGAGGTATTCCAAGTGGATGACATCTCCCTCGGTCTCTTCTCCGTCTAGAGCCTCTACACCACTCGAGGCCCGGAGGACCGCCTTAGGGGTAGACGTTCATGAGTGCTTGTAACAGCCTAAACTGAATGAATGCTTTTGAATTTCGACGACCTCCATGGCCGAGTGGTATATACGACGGGTTTCAAGAGGAGGGTTGGAATACAACGTTTCCCGTTAATATTTAGTTTTAATCAAAACTTTGCCGCCTTGTTAAAACATTGTAAAAACTGTTGACAAAGACAAAAAAGTCTTTACTTTGATTTTGTATTTGCTTTGGTGGCCGCACCTGCGTGTTCCGTGCGTTCCATCTGCCTTTTGTTCTGTGATCTGAATCCTAAGTCATGGATGTTTAGATATATATTTCTGAATAAAATATACTAACACAAGCCTTGCAGTGCTTACTTTGGGGCCAGGCTAAATGATGCGAGTGTGGTAATTTATTTATTTATTAATTTGTATAATTCATCGGCGTGTCTTCGGTGTGGACGGTGCTATTCTTGTCTACGCCCGGTCGCCTACAGACGTGGCCCGAGGTCGTCTCCACGGGTCCGTAGACGTCGGTCTATCTGTGATTACGGCGACCCATTGATATAGACGCCGATGAATTCATATATTCGTACCAACTGCGAGCTTAGACCGCTGATGTGTTCCTCCCTTGGCTCAACGTACTCTAAGCGAAAATGAGCCTATTGCTGTCCTCATGTTTGGGACCAAGACCGTGCCAATGGACAGATAATCGGCCGAAGATCGTTATAAAAATTTTTAAAATTTTCTAACATGATTCCTAAGCATGTAAATGTTTATAATTCAAACTATTGAAAGACTAACTTGGTTCTGATTATCGTTTTTATTTTTGTAGTAGCAGGTCGCAAAAGACCTCCCGTTACGTAAAAAGACGTAAATATTCATAAACACCCTCATTCCGCAGCGTTTCTTCGTGGTGGACGGCGGTATTCTTGTCTACGCCCGGTCGCCTACAGACGTGGCCCGAGGTCGTCTCCACGGGTCCGTGGATGTTGGCCTTTCTGTGATATCGGCGAAGGCGCGCCGGCGACGCATCGATATAGACGCCGATGAATTCATATACCACCTGCGGGCTAAGACCGCTGATGTGTTCCGCACTTGGCTCAACGTGCTTAAAGCGCACAGGTAAATTCAAACATTAAAGCCTTTTTTTTTACATAGCAGCTTAAGAAATACTAGAATTCAACACGGCCATTACGGTCTCGGTTGCATAATTGGTTAGTGCGTTCGCCCGGATTGCGGAAATACGCCGATGAATTAATATACCACCTGCGAGCTAAGACCGCTGACGTGTTCCGCACTTGGCTCAACGTGCTTAAAGCGCGCAGGTAAGTGTGATTCTCTACACAGAATAAGTTTAGAGAATCACGCCAGAATCGACGCCATAGTCTACCTAAAGAACATTGGTCTTAAATCGGTATTATTGTAATAAAATATTTCAACGATAAATTTTTAGTGTTTCACTTACTTAAATAAAAATCATCTTATCACCGTCTTAGTAGTATCTACAATTATATTAAAGTAATACTCATAGTAAATGAAACTTGTGATAAATATTCGATATTGATAAAATATCGATGTTTTCAAACGACATATCGAAAAACATCGATATCTCTTTCCGATATTTTATATCGCATACATGTATCGATATATTTTTTAAGTATACACCCCTACTGCGAGCTAAGGCCGCTGATGTGTTCCGCACTTGGCTTAACGTGCTTAAATCCCACAGGTCAGTTCAAACTTTAAAGCTTTTTCTTTACGTAGCAACTTAAGAAATACTAGAATTCAACACGGCTATTAAGGTCTCGGCAGCATAATTGGTTAGTGCGTTCGACCGGATTGCAAAAATACGCCGATGATTTAATATACCACCTGCGAGCTAAGACCGCTGATGTGTTCCGCACTTGGCTCAACGTGCTTAAAGCGCACAGGTAAGTTCAAACTTTCAAGCCTTTTCTTTACGTAGCAGCTTAAGAAATACTAGAATTCAACACGGCCATTAGGGTCTCGGCAGCATAATTGGTTAGTGCGTGGAACTAACTTCATGAGTTATCTCATATTGAAGTCATTTCTCAATTTGACGACTCTGTATATAATACAGGGAGCAAAAACAGCCCTTGCTGAGTTTCTTGTCTGTTCTTCTCAAGACAAAGTCTCCCGCCGTAGATTTGCGAAGCGATAGCGTAGCTTTTCGACATTCACAAGAGCTTGTAACAGCCTAGACTGAATCAACGATATTGATTTTTTTAACGTAATAAAGAAACTTACAGACCATGAAGCACCCTCGCAAGACCTTGTTTATTTTAATGTCACATATCTTGTCACTTCCAAAAGATATGCCGTTGCCACTCTTCGCCTCTCCTAGGCGGCTTCGGTGTCCGTTAAAAACAAAATTTCAACATTATTTTCTTATTTCAGACTCTACAGACAGCACTTACTTACGTTTGGTGCGCGAGAGTCAGTACCGAAGATCCATGCACCACTCGATGATTTGCCACCCACAGATACTTCATCACGTAAGTCAAATTTATTGTAATATTATAAATGAGAATTTGTTTTGAATAGCTTGATTTGACTTAAGCATGTTTAAGAATTTCCCGAGTGTTTAACGTCTGGTAATTTTGAAACTTAGAATTTTATTTTTATGATTAGTTTGGCCTGTTTTCTACCATGACTTTTCTAGAAAAGAAAATTACGTGTGTGTGAGCTTTGATTCTTTCATTTCAAGATAGCCAGATTTTAGAGATATCTAGATTTAATAAGTAGATTATATTGATAGCTCTAGGTTTTTATACAATTACTTTTTAATAAAAAGCATCATTCTTTCTATCAGGCACTTCTCAAATGAGCACAGAAACAGGCTTTGTCTCCAACGAAGATTTTCATGACTCCGTCCAAAACTTGTCCTTTCGAAAATCAAACGATATTGAATTTAATAGCCCTAAGCTCAAAGTGAAAAGTCCTGACCTTGATTGGCATTTCCTGAACAAGGAGGAGAAATATGTTTTCTTTAATTTCCCGAACCCAAATAACGGTGTTGTAACTTTAAACAATATCATGAACAAAAGGAACAGAAGCCTATGCTCAATGAACTGCGTAGCGAGATTCAATCGAGACCGTTTACATCAGAATAGTCCCCAAGATTTATCCCAAGTGAGCACCAATAACGAGCAGCAAGTTCACATTACTGATCTGGAATCCATCCATTCAAACATAAGTAAGAGTAACAAAACCGTATTAGATATTAAAAACTGTGAAATAACCGATTCCAGAAATCTTGACAAAAATCCTGAACCTGCATGTTACTTTTTCTCTCATAAAAAGCGTAAATCTGCTCAAGTCGAACTCGGTGAATCTCTGTTGAAAAATAGTAGGAAATCTACTAACCTTGTCAAATACAGGAACGTGCTTATCGAGCCTCGTTTAAAAAGACCAATTAGCAAATGTCTGTTATTGAAGAACTACAGGTTTTCTAAATCTGAATCAAGGAAATATTCTTTCAAAGACATTGGATGCGATCCCATTCCAAAAGAATACAATGACGTAGAAGCTACTGTTAGTAACTTCAATAAAGTGCACAAATCGGTTCAAAACCTTTTGTCTGCAACCGACTACGATAAAATTACTGAAAGAATTATGGTATCGATATTTGAGAAGCATAAAATAGTCAATAATGCTAAAGATAAGGAAGTTAAATATTATGTCAAACAAATCGTTAGAGAGTTGTATGATGTCAAATTTAGTGAAACTGATATACATCCAGTTAAAGTGTTGTTCAGATCCCTACTAGAATACTGGTTGACGAATACGAGCGAGCAACCGTTTCAAGAAGCGATCAGACGCGTCATATCTGTTGGAAAACCATCAAATAATTATTTCACTCGAGATAAAATGTTGTCAAGTTATGTATTAACTAAAGCAACAAAACAAACTCAATTTCACGGCATCAGTGATTTCATGAATTCGATTATTGAATCTAGGGATGCAAAGCGTTTGAAAAGTTTAGGTAAAAATAGAAATTCCAAAAAACCTGTAATACGCTGTCACAGTCCTAAACGTGATACCGAAAGCTTCGAAAAAGAGAGGCGTATTCAAGAACTTGAAAGAATACTGAAAAACACAGTGTACGTATGCGAAACAGTTCGGAGTGATCAAAACAAAGAAAAAGATATCATTATAACAAAGAAACTATTAGACAATCTAGAAAATAAATCTAATAGATCTATTTTAGACAATATTAAAGAAAATTCAAATTCTTCGACTGAATTACCCAAAATACAAGAGACAATAAACCATTTGATAAATGACACAGAGATACCACCTGATGTGGCTAAAGAGTTTTTCGGCGCCTACTTAGGTATTCTATTAGATAGTAGTAAAAGCGTTACCAGCACCTCCCAGTCAAGCGAACAATTCGATAAAAGCCATGAACCTACGTGTGATGTTATAGCAGAATCCGTTCAGAAGAAAATATCTAAAAGTGTTGTCACTTCTAACTTGGAAAGCATTAACACCATAAGCTTCACATGTGGAGATCACTCGGTTAAGCAAAAAGTTGAAAAAGATTCCGGTGAACTGTACTTAAAGGAAATGCTAGATAAAATTACAAACATTTTTACTAAAACTAGTAAAGATAAAAAACAAGATGTTGATAATAACGATAAATTGAAAAGAGTTAAGAAAAATGAAACCGAAGAAATATTAATTAAACACGTTAGTGAATTTACGAACAAAAATCTTATACACGAAAACGTCAAAGACAACTCGCTTGTTATTGATCTATCCAAGTATGATTTGGAACATATATCTATGTCCAGTGAACCAAAACTCAAAGATGTTATGTCAATAACGATCAAACTTAAAGAAAAGCCATCCCATTTCGGTGAATCAAAAACACAACAAGTGAATTTGAAATTTTGCAATAATACACAGAAATCAAAATGTTCTGATTCACAAGACGATTTCATAAAAATTTTAGGTAGTAAATCGTCGAAAAAGATATCTGATCCTGTCGATATGAATTTGAATGCAACCTATGATATAGGAACAATTGCCAACATAATCGACCTTAAAAGGTATACGAGTACAAGCGACGTCACTTCAAAAGCATACTGCAAAATTATACATGAAAGCGAACACTCAATTGATTTGTCATTCAATAGCAGCAATTATTTTAGAAAAGAACAATCTGATGATAATGAAGACCTTCAGTCGTGCTATATAGTTTCTTCGTTCAAGAAAAACTCTTTAACCACGAAATTGCAATCCAAAAAGAAAGTGCGTCTGAGATCTAGCCATGAACTGTCAATCGATACCGAATCTCAAGCAAAATCATCTAAACAATCTAGCAGCAACAGATACCCCGTTGAATATTCTGTATTCGAACAGCGAACACCAAGAATAATTGACGAGAAATTCATATTATTATTATTAGAAAATCTCACTATGCTTTCTAAGAATATACCTAGTCTTTATAAAGATCTGAATGCATTGTATATAAAATTAAAAAAGAAACATGATAAGGTCATAAGGAATTGTAACAATATACAAGGTTTGAGTCTTTTAGGCAAAATATACAATGATGATGACAAACCGAATAATCGTGAAACACAATATGAAAAGACTGATTGTAAGCTCAGCTCAGATGTTCAACTTATTCGTAATTACAAGGATACCGAAATGAACACTCTCTTAGTACACAAAGATATAGTGGCTTGTAGTAAAAGTGTAAATACTTTCAATATACCTTATGATACAAAATTTACTGACGTTCAAACAGAATTTTCAGGACTAGAATTTGCAATACCGGCACTGAATAATAGGTTGCGTCCGCTGAAGATATCTAGTTCTCAAATGACATTTTCCAGCAAAGAGTTTTCGTATGTGGACCACTCATTATCTTCGACAAAATTTGGAAAGGCGCGTGAAATTAAAGATGAGGGAACATCCGTGCAAAACTGGAACGTTCGACCCCCTAGTAAGGAATGTGCTATAAGCACCGTAATAAAAACCGTTCTGGATAATCCTGATAACATGAAAATTTATCGCTTAACACGACCTAAAAATTTTGAGAACGTCCACGTACTGAAAGCCGATAAAGACTTCTTGAGTATGAATAATAATAAAAGTAACCACCAAAAAAGAGTAATTTCTCCACCAAGGACATCCATTGAATCACAAACAGAAAAACGTGTTAAAATTGTGAAACATAGTAAATTGAATTACCACTTTGTGAATGATCATAATGTATATCAGTTAGCTTTGAGTCAAATGAGGATACGAAAATCTAGTTCTGCAACAAACTCTATAGCCTTGTCAAATAATATGAGTGATGATTTGAAGACTTTATACAGATGTCCCAGTGAACCTTCTTATTGCTCTGGTTAGATTTCTTAAATCTTAGTGTTTTGTACAATCATTAATTTATTAGTGTCAGTAAATATTTCTCCTTTTTTCATAAAGTCTGTACTGTTACCACCGATTTTATCTTACAAACCACTATAAGTATCATTTTAGAATGGTTTACTATAAACTTTTCATACGTCAGTCTGCATGACATAGTATTGAAATAAGTCTGAATCTATATATTTTTCTAAATCCAGTAAAAGTATAGAGTTTTTTTTATTTTGGTCTATCGGTAGTGAAGATAGCTAGAAGTGTTAGAAATTAGATGATGCAGAATCTTGTTTGCCCGTATCAATAGTAGCTTTCACCTTTTATATAGTTCCACTTATTTAATAGTATAGAACCTTTAGCACTACTTATAAGATTTCCAACCTTTACGCAGTCCTTGGGAAGGTGACAGACGCATAGCGAATAGGTATTATAGGTAACTTGGTAAATTTTAAGCCTAATTGACTTTCGATGTTCAGCCAGACAGCGGGCGGGGCGGGACCCAAACGTAATACTGGCACGATATAAACAGTAGTAATGTATCAGTTATTATGAAATACGGCGTGTCGTGCTGTGTGACGTCACACTAATATTATAAAGGCGAAAGTTTGTGAGTGTGTATGTTTGTTACTTCTTCACGTCAAAACGGCTAAAGAGATTTTAATAAAATTTGTTATGTAGTTAGCTGACACCCTGGATTAACACATAGGCTACGTTTTTTGAAAATATTCCTAATAAACCGCGGGTAACACCGCAGGGCACAGCTAGTATTTCATAATCAGTAGTTTCTGCGTGATTGGGTTACAAACATACAAGCTTTCGCATTTATAATATTAGGATTGGTATTACACTTACATACATTTATTCATCGTATATTTTTGTCGTACATCGCGACAAAAATTTCATCTCCACCATCTTCACTAAATCACGTATGACAAAACTCTTGAATTCATTATCACCAGCTGTTTTTTCGGAACAACACGATCAAAAATCCTTCAAAAAAAGAGCGTACTCTTCTTTCCTTAAAGGCCGGCATCGCATTTGTGATAATCCTGGTGGTGCAGGTGTCTATGGGCAACGGTGATCTGATCACTTAGCATCAGGTGAGCCATCAGCTCGTGTGAATAAAAAAAACACTTATTTGTCCTGATTCCTTCCTTTATCTGTAAATGGTTTTCTGTTGATATATTTTTTTTAATTGCTAGCGTCTGTCTCCGTCTTTAAGGCTCACAACGGTTAGGTAGGGTATGGTAAGGTAAGTGATCGCATCCCCCAAGTGTGCGTGTGTGTGTTATAGGGCTGGTTAGCCCGACATCGGCGACGCAGAGGGGCCTACAAGCCTGCTTCGTATCGGGCACACCGGGAGGCCGCCTCGCTGGATGGATCATAGGTGAGAACTGGGCGATTCTGTGAAGTAAATCTCACCTTAGAGTTTGATAGGTCCAATTTTAGACTTTAAATATGCATTTAGTTATTATGCATGTATATGACCATGACTGTTGAAGCAGCAAAATTCGAATGAACGCAACCAAAAGTGAGATTGTGCGTTACAGAATCGACGTGGTGGGGGCTATGGTGTGAGGATGCGTATAGTGCGATTAAATAAAATTGAAATTGCCAATTTTTTAGATCAAGGATAGTGAAAATGTAGCCAATGCCTATTGACTGCACGACTGCTTCGTCTCTCGCCACCTATCCGCCCAGATTTTACTTTACAGTTGAATAGGGAACGATAAGTCTATCTTTTTTCTTTCTTTCTAAATCCTTTCTTTATGTATAATGTCCGTGGTCACAACGCATCTTCGCACCACTTAACTTTCTATCTCTGCTGAAGAAAATGCTTCTATTTCACAGCTTCTCCACGCATCCTTACACATCTCTGATCGAAATTCAGTCTGATTGTCAAACTTTAACTCTCTGCAATTTCCTTAAAATCTTAAAGCAAATAGGAACATAAGACAAGCTAACCTTTTCCTATGTATAAAAATTTGCGGGAGGATTAAAAGTTGCCAATTTACTCTGTTCACGAAAACGAGTTGTTAGAGCACTTTCTTTATCACAAAATCGTTTAAAAAATAATAGAAAATTCTTCAAATGATAACGACTGACGTTGGCCCCAGTAAGCCTATACCGTCACTCGGTCAGTGGAAAAAAAGCTTGCATAGTGCGATTAAAACCTTATAGCGCCTGTGAAGAAGATATGCGCAAGTTTTCACTGGCTGAAATCTGCTCATAGTTGCGTTCGTTGCTAACTTCACAACCGCCATGAAGTTTGAATCGCATGCTTCTACTAAAATGCCTATCCTAAAATCTATAGCTATTCAAGATTTTCGTCCACAACAAATAGTTGGGGGAAGTCTCGAATGTATTCAAACACTTACGGAAATCCCCAAGCAATAGAATATCGCCTTTATTACTTTTTCTTAAGCCTATGTGTACACAACTCATTTAGTAAAATACTGATAAAAGTATTATAAAGTTCATTATATTTTTATTTGGCTTGGTAAAGGTGCGGATATTGCTCAGTACCTATATTTTTTGATGTCTATGGCATCAGCCTTAATTGACATTTAATTGATATTTGAACCCATTAAAGTTTTTGTGGTCACAAATAAACGCGCCTTATAACCGTTCAAGTGGTACTGCAAGTGTAAGTCTGTTATTAGTATATTCTGTTATCTGAGATCTAGACAGTGATCCAAAATAATATCTGTCGCTTTTGGTACTACAAAGTGATAAAAATTTTCATCTGCTTTATTGAAGTGTAAATTGGATAGATCATCCAGATCACAAGAATACAGTGTGAGCTGTGTTGTTAAAACGAATGCCCGTCGAATGCTTTGCATGTGCACGCATTTTTATTGCAATGTGTTAAAAAATCAACAATATCATTGATTATCTGTATATTTTAATTGTAAAAGAATCTAATAAGTTTGAGAAAATAGTAAAAATATTGACTAAGCTAACTTCTAACTTTTCTGACATAGCAAGTAACAAAAGACAGGTGATAAGTAATGTGCTTATCTTCATGTAATCTTTGTTTCCCAAAGGTTGACTGTTAGAGAACGCTATAAGCATTTACGACGCCTTATAAACCATTTTTATATATTGTTCGATCAAGTTTGTTAAATAAATAAAAACTTAGATCTAGTAAATGGATCAACAGACCAAACTGACAATTTCATAAGTAAATACAATACAGATTTTATGTACTTTGCGTAGTATGTGTATCCAAGGCATGATCGCTCTCAACAGGGTATTTGACAAGTTTTAGAAAACGATCTCACAATATTTAGTAATGTTTATAAAAAGGAGTTATTTTAAATTCTGTTGTGTAATTCAGAAAAAAACAAAACAAAATTCAATTTTCAAGTTGCCGCGAAAACGTTTATCTGTACATTACGGCGTCTCACTAGTGTGTGACGTCACACGACTGTCATTAAAAAGTCTAACGATACAATGTAATGTCATTTTGGCTGGAAGTATACTAGCGTGTGACGTCATTTTAGTCTTGGCCAATCCCAGGCGTTTTCGGTCACGTGACCATGGAGCAAAAAAAATCATCACTATTTGATGATTTCATAGAAAAAATATTAATTATTATTTGTTCTTTCAGAATAGTAAAAACGCTGCTAATATTCATATTAAATATAAATGCCAATAATTGGTACATTATTTTTCATAATGTCAAATAGGCTGAGACTCGAGAGTTGAGAGCGATCTATTAATACGGGCCTAAGAAAAGTATTCTTTATATTGTTTTCTATTACAGAATCCGGTGGACCGTTAGAAAATGCATCGAGGGAGTTGGGGCAGGCTCAGCTGTCTGTGCAGCAGCTGCAGCGGCTGCTGGAAGCGCTGGAACTGCAGCACCAGGTGCATCACGACACTGACGTACGGAATCATATTACTGATATCTATTACATATAATAAAATGGTAGGAAAGTCAAAACTGTACATTGATTTATTTTTAAAAGAATACTGAGAATGGGGTGTGGTCTACAATCGATCCCGAAGCCAAAAATATAGTTTTTAGAATTTTTGTCTGTATGTATGTCCGGGATAAACTCAAAAAGTACTGCATGGATTTACTTCAAATTTGCCACGAATATTATTAAGAAGTCGGGTCAACATATAGGCTAAATCAGGGGTGCTCAAACTTTAAATAGAATTTACAAATAGTATTATTTATTTCTACTAGAACATTGAATTTTGCAAGTGTGGTAGAAATGCCATATATTTTAACAGCTCTTTCCTCCTGACAGGTGTCATTAGAAGGCGCCTCTCCCAACGTGAAGAAAGACCGTCGCAAGTTTGGACTACGCAAAAAGAAGTCCAACAGCAAATGTGCCTCCGTGGAGCTCGCTCCACCACACATAGATCCCTCCAGTTCACATATGGTTCGTATAAATATGTATATATAAATGTTTCTAATACTGCCACCAATCAGCCTTGCCCTAAAGTAAAGTAAGCATTTTTTGTGTTATGTGATACTAGGGTAACGGATAGAAATACATATAATAATACCCATAGATAACTACATTTATTATATTACTTAGAATGCTTTTAGTATTAGGGGGCGGCCCCTGTACCATTTTTATATATTACCAAATAAAGTTTGTTAAATAAATATTTTTTTATTTTTTAAGCATGTAACTTCTTGATGTTGAAATCTAAAGAAAATATAACTAGAAAACATTCCACGCGGACAAGGCAGCAGACGGGACTAGAACCAGCACCCTTCGTTATACGGGCGAATGCACTGACCCATTATGTTATTTATCATAGCTATTTTTTCTTTCAAATGTTTAATACTTGTAAGAGTATTCATTGGACATTGTCGGTTACCTACAATATGAAGAGATGGCCCTGCCTTGCAGCTTAAGAATGGCTAGATAAAAAAAAAATATTTTTGTGGAAGAAAAAACAGCCATGAATTAGATACAAATATTCCTATTCATAAGACAAATATTTGTCCCACCGGGATTTGAACCAAGAACTTCTGAGTAGGCGACACTATGAAAGCCGGTGTACATACCACTTCACCGCGGAGGTCGTCTGGTAGACGTATGGTAACGCATATAGTGGGTTTCAAACTTTATGGCGGTTGTGAAGTAAGCAACAAGCACAACTTTGCACAGGTTTCAGTCATTAAAACCCAAGCCGCTCAGGTCTAAATTCCGTTTGGCAAATATTACCGAAAACAAATTATTTATTTATTTATATATTTGATCACCAACAAAGTTACGCTTAGACATTTATTATTTACACATTTATAGTACGACACTTTATTAATGAAACTTTAATTATAGGCGATTCATCATCAGCCTATTAATGTCCCCACTGCTGGGGCACAGGCTTTCCCTATGGATGGAATAGGGAGATTGGGCCATGACCCACCACGCGGGCCCAGTGCGGATTGGCGGGTGCTAACGACTGCAGATGCAGCCGGGACCAACGGCTTAACGTGCCTTCCGAAGCACGGAGGAGCTCGAGATAGTAATTTTTGGTCACCCATCCAATGACCGACCACTGCGAAAGTTGCTTAAGTTCAACGATCGCAGCCGAACGCGCTAACCACTTGCGCCATCGAGTTCCTTATAGGCGATTACGACATGCAATTCACACTTAACTAGCAATTAAATCTTATAAAATTTTGATAATTACATTGATTTCAACACAAAACAATTATGATTAGAATTAAAATTTTAAATTGCCAATAATTAAATAAATTTATGAAACAATTAAATAAATTTATGAAAAATAATTTAATGAAAATAAATAATTGAAAAAACTATGTGGGCACAACCAAACAACATAAAGATTTTATTCTCTTCAGTGTATTCGCGAAGATGTCCATATCGGTCGACTTTGACAGTGCATTGTACTGAGAGAGCATTCAATTTATAGGAGAAAATAAGCCTAGGTTCGTTCTCGAGCTTCTCGTCGCAAACAAATTATATCTTGACCTCTTGGCAGTTTTAAGGGGATATTAAAATATACTCTTGAGAGCAAATCGGGACAGTCCATAATACCATTAACGAGCTTATGCAAGAAAACATTATCCAAAATAAATCGGCGATCGCTTAATGAATCCATTTTAAAGTATCGATAATAGTAGTTATGCGACTGGCATATAAGAAGGGTCTGTTTATGTGATGTTTTATAATAGGTTGACTCGAGTGTTTTAATACCTAAATTATATGCAGTTGCATACACTACCTTATCTTCAATATGGAGCAATTGAAATTAAAAAAAGTAGCTAGGTAACAAAGAAATACCTATTTGGTAAAACTTTTCTGAAATCCCAAAAACAAACCACGATCGACAGAAAATTGTATGGGAGCGCGGGTAAGTTCAAACTGACTAAACGAATGCGTGCGCCTCTTTTTTTTTCACAAAAATACAAAAATGAAAGTGTACTATAAAACTTAAAAATCTATTTTACGATACAGCTAGCAGTACAGTAATGACTTTTAATTTTATGTGCGTTTATAAAGTACCTATGAACATTTTTATAGAACCATCTTCAAATTCGTAATTTGAATATTTCGACATGAACGTATGTAGATAAAGTAACTTCTACATTTATTGAATGTTGAGATGTTGGTAAACAGTTTTTATTACGGATCATATAAAAATAATATTTATCACAATTGAATCATAATGCAACTGTACGAATAGTACTAGACTGTAGTAATAGACTATTAGATTAAAACATAAAAGGAAGATACGGCACTCGCAGCTCATAAGTGATCCGCTTAAAATGTGGTGCATGACCACAATTCGCTTTAGTCACAATTCGACATTCAAACGCGCTGCATGTGCATTCAATGTAACAATATTGTGTATAATCTGTGTTATAAAGATAAAACAATGCCTTCGATGCTTGATGAAGCTTTTATAAAGAACACAAATAGTTCAAAATCAAATAACAAATGCCGCAACTACACTTATTATTCCTAAAACTGTTAAAAAAAATTCAAAAATCACGGTTTGTCGTGAATGTTTGTTTACGTAATCGCCGTGCGGTCTCGGACACAAACTCGCCGTTTCGCTCGCGCTGCGTTGAAGCGTACTTTTGTGTCTCGCTCGCCCGATTGAATGCTTATTTACAGACGTGTGTGTGTGAGAGAGTTGCTTGTGTAGTTGAGTCGGATCATATTTTATTTCATGCTAGTATGAGCGTACCGTATCTTCCCTTTTTGTTTTAATCTAAGAATAGACTAGATTGGACTAAATATCCACATTTCTATTGTACAGGCCTTATCAGCCCTCACTGCACCTCCATCACCGGGCGGTGGCGCATCTTCTGTGCCCAACTCCGCCGCTTCGTTGCCAATCGGTAAGCGACCTTAATCCAATGCAATAAAGCTGAAAATCGCATACAAATGTTTAGTCGTCGAAACGTCGCTTACTGTTCGCCTTCCATTTGTGGATGTGGATAGAATGTTGGAGTTTATTGTGTAGTACACGATTTTCTTACTTTGTTACCGGTGATATAGAAAAGAATTTGGATGACGGCCACTTTATTTCCTTCTGTATTTTCATTTCCTAAATAAACAAGGAATAAGCTTGACTAGTTACCGTGTTTTGTTCATACTACTCAAATGCCAGAGGCAAATCATTGAGTAACTAATCCAAGCTTATTCTTCGTTTAAAGGTGTCTGAGTACAGACCTACATCTGCCAAATGTTCAGTTAACACGCTCGCAGTGTCAAACCAGTAAATTATACATGATTTGTGGCGTTCTACGTGTCTAATTCTACAACTGTGCCCCAAGCACAAACAACTAGCGAGAAAGTATCCGTATCGCCATGTCAAAGTTTCTATAGAAATAGACAGTTTGTTCTCACCTGCGGTAGGGGCTTTGCTTAGTTACCATGGAAACTGACGATGGCGATACGAATACGGATCTGTCAAAGTTCATACTTGGGGTACAGATAGTAATAGCCGAAAAATAGACTTGTTTTTCCTTTAATTGAGCAAGATAAGTTCTCTGACAAAAATATTTTCTCTTTCTAGTCAATACGAATACTATGCTGGGCCAAAAGTAATGTCCGAAGAGGGAATAAGTCTACTTATGTACATAATATTGTGCCACATAAATCGTGTTTTAATTTATTTTGTACTAACATTTATTTTATTTAAATGGATGGCGTGATTTGATTTATAAATAAAGTATTTTGATAATTATGTCTTTTCAAGGATTCTACGAAATTGGTGAGTCGTGAATGCGCTAAAGGCATGGCGGAGTCACCTTAAGAAAATGTCGAGATGGTTGACTGGTGTCACGATTTTTTAACTAGATACCTATATCACTGGGTTGCGTTTAGTATGAGTTGCTAATAGTTACGATTTGAGTGTTTACTGGGTCTTTTTGTTCCCGATATTTAATACCCTAGATACACCTTCACGAACAAAATCGTGGCTGAAACCTGACCAAAAGGTACGTTGGACGATCCACCGAGCTTCATAAGATGTTCGCGTAGTCAAAAACAATGTATGGCATTATTTTAACATTCAAAGTATTTTATTGCATAGTATATTTATAAGATCTTAATTGAAACACATGCGTCAAAGAGTTACGACAGTTCGAAATGCGAGCTCGAAAAATTTTACGACGTGTTGCTATAGGCGGAAGAATATAGATATTATTTCTTAGACTCTACGCGTACCAACAAAGCCGGTACGGAGCGCGAGGAAAAGAGACGGCTATATACCATACATTTGAATACCACAAATATTTTCTATTAAATTGGTTTGTAGCTAGTATTAGAACAATATTTGCTTCGAACGTGTTAAATTAACAAACACTGATTAGATACTTGTCGAAAAAACAAAACTTGTATTTTTTTAGTGTAAACTCCAAACAAATTATCATGCAATATTTTGTGTTCGCCATTGATTTTGAACATAAAAAAATATGTAATTTGATTATATAAAAAATACTAAAAATCTGAAATATGTGTCGTTTCTGTCGGTCTGGATTTTTTTTCTTAGGGGCGAGACCGTGCTTCGTTACATAAAACAAAAAAACGCTTGTGTCAAATCACCAATCCGTATTTTAATCGTATTACATTGAAATATAAAACGATGTCCGCTGTTAAATATGCAACTCAAACTTTTCGCACCCGTACATCGAGAAACGCAAATCTGAATGGCATGTCTATACTGCTACTTGTAGCTAGGCTCAGTGACGTCATCACAGTGCTTATCAACGTATATCCCAATGATTTTCGCAAATAATAATAGATGGCGCTACATTACGAGCCATATAAGGAATCGACCAGTGAATAAACTATGAGTCGCTGGATTCCAATGCAAACTTGATATTTGAATGCAAAATGAATATAATCTAATGTATACTTTCTCGTTTTACGTTACAGCATTTCTTTCAACATTTCTGGCGTCCGCTTTAGTTCGTAAGATTTTTTTTATTTGTTTCTTTATTTAATTTATTTTTACCACTCCTCCCCAGTTTCATTCGAGCGCCATTTGTATTTAACAGCATCGCAATTCAGAAGCTTCGGTAGTTTACAAAGAGGAGAGACTAGACGTACATTTAATGAAAAGTTCATTTTAATGAAAACGTACCATTTTAGACAGATTCGATATTTCCCATCAGAAGCAAATACACGTAAACATGAACCTTAATAAATAAAAAAACCTAGTCCACATGGTCTAAAATATCATAGAAGCGTTTAAGAAACACACAATTCAGTTCACAAACCTTAAGAAAAACTTGGGTTGTTTTCAGATGGTCGCCGTGTGACTAACCCTCATTAATGCCTATATCGCAAAATTACTACATATCATTTCGTCTAGATCTTTAATGGACTACATCGCAAAATGACTAGATCTTCATTTGACCACATGAAATAATGACTAGATCGTAAAATAACTACATCTTTATTTGATCACATCTCATAATGATGTAGCAAAATTACTAGATCCTGATAGTAAATATTGGCACGTTAAGGAAAAAGTTTACCCATCCCTGCCATCCGTCATGCCATGCCTCTAGATACTAGATAGTCCTTCGACGACACGACACTGATTAAGTTCATGCTTAAACTTAAAAAAAGGAAGCTGTAAAGTTCTAAGTATTGTAATTTATTGGTCCTGAGTAAAATAAGAAAATCTTCAGTTTAAAATTTTTTAGTTTATAACTTACTGATGATAATTAAGTGTAATTAACGGAAATTTTGTAGTTGCATTTGATTGTACATTTATGTAACAAAACACAAACAAGACAATTAACTAGTCATTTTGCTACCAAGTCATTATGAGATGTGGTCAAATAAAGATGTAGTTATTTTTCGATCTAGTCCATTAAAGATCTAAACGAAATGATATGTAGTCATTTTGTGACTTAGTCATTAATGAGGGTTAATCACACAGCGACCTAATAAGCAATCTGAAATCATCCCTATAGTAACTAATCAGAACCGACCTCAACCGAAAAAATAAGAAATAAATAAAAGCCTTTCATACACTAAACTTCTCATTCGTTTAGTTGTCATTTGTACCTAATTGGATTAGGTACACATTATAATAGCGTTTTCGTTAAGTGTTGTACTTATTGTGAAAAAGACATTTTGAATGCGTCTGGACTCTCCTAATGGACTCTGTATTTGGCTGGGTTTCACAAACAATGCAGCATGCAGTCAAATGAAAGCTTAGCCAAAGTGAATCACTTTTGGACACCTATTTGTCACTGCTATGCAATATCATGACCTACTGTTATGAGAATAAGGATCAAATTCGAATTTGGTTGGGTGATTGTGCCGTGGTAGGCGAAGTATTGAACTAGACCTATGCTAACTGGCTCAAATACATATATAAAATCTTTATCCATACTTTGAGCATTTTTGTTACAAATAACTAGGTTATACGATACAAGAATAAAGTAAGTATAATTATCCTACAAGATATTTTGAATAGGTGTCATGACGGGGCAAACGATATTCTATTTAGTTCATCGGTTAGATTATCAAAAAATATAGAACAGTATTTTTTTCTTACGGTAATCAACCGAAAAAGTTACAATGAATAACGCGCCAATTTTTGAGAGTGGGACTCGTGCCGTCGCTTCTAAGTAAAATTGTACCAAGACATGTTGACGTCATGTGCCATTTTATATCAATAAATCTCTGTAAAGTTTTGATTATCTGAATGGAGAAAAAAATACGTGTCCAAAACTTTTTGATAATCTGAATGAAGAAAAAACTGCAACGAAAACATATTTAGCAAACGAGATAAGCCCAGATAAGGAATTGATGGGTGTTCACATGCTCCCTCACCGGTAGCGTTTGTCTAATGATTCGAGCATTACATCAGTGAGAGAGGAAAACCGAACCATTACAGTGCGCAACCTATATTGTTACTTATATGGAAACTTGCTATTTGTGTGGTCAAAATTCTTTATAGTTTAATAAATGAAATTACCTTAACACAATATTACTAGAAAAAAAAACACGCAGACCAGGCAGCAGACGGGACTTGAACCCGCACCCTTCGCTATCCGGGTGAATGCACTGAGCAATTATGAGCGAGGAGTATGGGTTCGAGTCCCGTCTGCTGCCTGGTCCGCGTGGATTTTTTTCTAGTAATATTTTCTTAAGATTTAAACATCGAACAAATACATGCTTAAAAATTATAATTAAAATAATAATGAAATGATCCTCAAAAATACAATTCCAAAAGTTAAATATTAAATTAGGTTTGTATTTTTTATTAAAAAGAGTTTTCTGAAAATACTTTCATTTAAACGCTATTATGAACTTTGGTTATCATCGACGACAACTTTATCTAAAATGTCAGATTATCTCAAGTAGATCTCGCAAAGATCACTAAGATTAATGCGACGTTATTTTAAACTTTATGCATTGAAAAATAAAACTCGTGATAGGCGAAATCGATGTATTGTTTTGAAAGATTTATTTGAGACATCACTGCTATAGAAAATTGAACGCTACAACGTATATGTTCACGAACGAATTTTCCATAGCGAAGGCACTGCCGTGATGTTTCTAATAAATTTTTATTCATCATATGCGTAGTAATACCATTAAGAGACGGTTAACCTTTTTCATTTCGAAAGTGAATTATTCTTCAATGAAATAATTTGAAAATTAAAATTATTTCATTACAAGTGAAGTGCATTTTGGAAAATAATTATTTAAATAGTAGTAACACAAAATACTTTTGATTCCGATCGATCGAGATTTCTATATTAATGTAATGTCTTATATCTAGTGAACAAAATGTCATGTGAAAGTGGTGGTTTCATGTTTTACATCGCTAAAACGGTGTTGGAGTATGTTTTCAAAGCCCTGAGGGAATGTGAGGAACAATACAGTTGTAAGTGAACTTTTGAACGAAAATATCATAGTAAACTACTGTCACAGTACTAGTATGTATTTTAATAGCAGTATTAAATATTTAGTACAAATAGTTAAGTAATTAAATAAAACTAGTTTTTACGGGTTAATGCACGAAACTTTATTTATTTACTGACGTTTCGCAGTTAAATAAAGTTTCGTGCATTAACCCGCAAAAAACTAGTTTTATTTAATGAGTGATGTGCGTGTAAACCTAAGAAATAAATAGTTAAGTAATTGTTAGAAAACTAAAAGCTTTATTTTGATTATGAATATTATGATGCACTTCTTCAGGTAAATATGAAAATAAACCTATTTTCACTTTGTTGACCAAATGAAATTAATATGAGTATCAGAATCAGAATTTTTTATTGCGTTTCATGTGGTAAACAAAGTCTTACGTTATTATAAGGTACAAACACACGAGTCCTGTGAGGACATAAAAATATTGAGCTTATAGCTAAAAATAAATTTATATTAACATTAAAAGTAGAACATTAGAGTAAGTACTGTGATATTTTGATAGTTTTATTTGTTGGAACAAGTCTTATGCTTTCCGATGCACTTAAAACTAAAAATAAAGCTTATATTGATGTCGATTCCGGCAGGGTTCTCTTAACTTAAAATTAACATCAGTCCCTCCTTTTTATTCTGTATAGAGAATGACAGGGATACACTTTTGTCAAATTTAAGTTTAGGTTTAGAGAATCATGCCAGAATCGACACCATTATTATACAAGTCTGATATTATACTTTGGATTTATAAGCGCTATTATCACATTTGATTATATCAGAAAAAACACTTTTTCTTGAAAATACTTACTTCAAAATCTTTTTTTTATTTTTAACCAATTTGAAACACTTCTATGGGTAATAATATGGGTAGTAATAGCAGTAGGTTCATTTTATCCCGAGCATGATAAATTCTTGTTTCTTTTATCGTCGTTGCCAATTTCACTGTAAATGAATTACATTAATTGTTCAAATAGCGCAATAGTATCATAGAACACTCACTATTGTAATTACATACATATCTTGTTCGAATCAGTTTATATAAAAATCATTTCGAGTAAGTAATAATAATAATACTTGGTAATTCCAGTTACACCAGTTCATTACATAAACTGAATTGTACTACTTGTAATATGTATTGCTGTTTAATTTAGATAATATTTTATTACGTTAGACTTATGAAAATTTTTCGTTGTTTTAATACTCTTTTTTAAATTAAAAATATGATGGGAAATAGTGCTATTTCTCAACGAGAATTATTTTCTAGTCTCAGTTAATTAAACATGCTCAATATAGATAAACTAGTTTGTTAGATAATTGATAAAAAGAATGGAAAAAGAGAAAAGCAATTGCCTGGACAGCTTATATCGCATAACAATAGGGAATATGCACGATATTATATTTTTGGATATTGTTTTATATTTTTATTTCATAGTTTACATTCCCTTAATAAAAATTTTCAACGTCAGAAAAATAGTGTAATGTATCTTTAAAAAAGAAATAGTCATTTTGCACAGTCAATTTAATTTCGCTCGCTATTTTGGAACTCTTGATGTGACGTCACAATATATATAGCAACGTAGCAACAAAACAAACAAGGATCAGAAGGCACTTGGACAAGGAATTTTTCGTTGGGCTTGTTTGTTGATTTTTTGTTATGTATGTCTACGTCACAACCGCTGTGTCGCGTTTCAGGTATTTGATTTTCCGACAAGTTTTTCGCACTTTACAATATTTAATATTTTGCTCAAAAACAAAATGTGTTAAAGAAATATAGAATGGAGGGACAATTCTAAAGTAATAGATTTATATACAAAAAATTTGAGCCTTGTTTGAATTACATGCATATTCCCTATTTGTATTGACTGTTAAACTATTGGAGGTTTTATTTTTCAAAAACATAATTTGTCAAAATTGTGATTCAAAATTTTATCTTGCAATACTTTATGACAGGCTTGATTCTGGCATGATTCTCTAAACTTAAACCTAAATTTGCCAACAGTCTCTCCTTTAATTATCTAAAGAGCATGATAAGGACTTCAATAATATAATACAGAGAGAAAATCACGGAACCGTGTTCACGACAAAATATCCGCAAAATAAAGAATCCGAAACGACGGGAATTATGTGAAAAAATACTCTTCACATCCGTTCAAAAAAGGTTTTGTATAATTATTGGTGTGCGTGATAACCTAAGCCTATTATTATGTTTTCACGTACACCACACATTAAATTATTGTCAAATTTAGATTTTTTGTTTAGAGATTCATATACCAAAATCATGCCCAATATCTTTTTTTAATAGTTGGTAATTTGCGTTTTGCGCCAACAGCTTGTGCAGCGGCGCGACCGCAGTCATTACCGGGCGCCGAATCGCTGGGAGGCGCCGCGGGTCCCGCTAGTCTCACCAGCTTGACGCCAGACCATCAGCTTAGGGAAGATTTTACGGTGCTGGCGAAGGACTTGGTCGCCAACCTGAAAAGCATCGTGTCCACTTTGGTAATGCTGTTTAAGTTTTAACGCCATGTTAGGGAATAGTATAGGAAGGCCAAAGGGGAAGGTCTTCCTCCGAACTGGTGGTAGCTCGGGGGCTGCGGCCCGACTGATGTTGGTCGGGCATCGTATATATGGATGTGTTAGCCTCCGAATTTTACTTGCGCGATTTAGGCTTTCATGCGTATTGATCGCAACGCCGGTAGCGATAAAGTTATACAGAGTTCATCCTGTACAATAGGGATGATGACAGGGTAAAAAAAGCAAAATTCTATTTGGTCCTCCAGTCTTTTCCACTTCTAAGTAGAACTTGTACCAAGACGTGACGTTATGCGACATTTCAACTCAATATATCTCAGTAATGTTTTGATTATGTGAATAAAGAAAAAATACGTCTCCAATACTCTTTGATAATCTACTTGGGGCTAGGCTAATTGGTATGAGTGTTGGAAATGTTAATTATTTTACTTACTAAAACATAGAAACATATCTAACGATTCAATTTCGTTTGTCCCCACAGGTTATAGAGAGGGGTCGTCTCCGCGCGGCCGTTGAAGCGACGGAGAGTTCCTCCCCCGGTGCTTTGTTGGCCGCGTTACGTACTAATCTCAACTCAGCATTACATCAAAACAACGGTGAGTTGATAGAGCCTGTGAGTTAACTCAAAGATAAAGAGAGTAAAAATGAAAGTAAAACCAAGAGTAATGAAATGAATAAAGTTATAAATTTTCTTCAAAATAAGAAAAACAAGAGTATGATGCCATTGATCACCTATTCCAAAGTTATGTCCAATCATTTAAAAGATTTTCCAAAGACAAACAGATAAAAGCTAAAGTAGAACTAGCCAAGTTATTTGCAAGCATAGAAGCAGAGGAACTGCAAGGAATCGTCAAGATATTGAATTGGTGAATTCAATATCTTGAATTCACCAATTCTAATAATCTCTATTATTCCATTATAAGTCCTAAAGACTCCGTCTCCTATGCAGTAACCAATTCTGGACCCGAAAATTTATTCTCAGTAGCTGTTATAGATTTATCTAACAGTAGCACTTCATCATTCCTGCAACAGCCTGAGCAGCTACGTCAACCACTACGCGAAATCGATATGCTACTTGTAACAATTTTGGAGCATCGATATCCTCAGTTGATTTTCATAATGATAACGCAATGAACATGTATTAAAAATATCTTACCTTAGACAGATTACAAGTCTTTCTCTTGTAGAAATATGCGTCCTCGAGTTTGTGATACATTTGCTTATTTTTGGGATGAGCAGTTCATGAAGATCGTTGAATAAATCTTGAGACATACGAAAGTATGTAAAAAAATGATCTTTATGTGATGCAAGCTCGCGACACAAACGATGATATTCTCCTAAATCCTTTCTCTTTTTATTGATGTGTGCACGACATACTCTTTTTCTCTGTGGCCGTGATAAAGCATATAAAGTAATAATTCTTCCACATGTGAATCAAGCGACATGTCCATAACGAACAAACTTTAAGCGAATGGTACTTTACGCTATGGAGCGCTAAGTACGCGTTCGGTTTGACAAAGCTTTAACACGGTTGATTTTGCTCTCGACTCGTATATTTATACGAAGGCTATTTTCATTCCTAGTTCTCATCGGCCCTGTGGCGCAACGGATAACGCGTCTGACTACGGATCAGAAGATTCCAGGTTCGAATCCTGGCAGGGTCGCAGATTCCTTTTGGTTTTTTTTTCGACTTTTATTTTTGTTTTGTGTGTTTTTCTCGTATTTTATACAAAATACTAATTCCCGCCAGCGACTTGGTCCGCATTTTGTTAACATATTTAGAATTCCGCAGGAACTAACATTTTTCTGGGATACAAAGTATTCTATCCTATGTGTCAATCTATGTATTAAGCTATATATGCCAAATGTAATCCAAATCTGTTCAGACGTTGAAAGAATAACAAACACCTATACAGATTTTCGCTTTTATAATTAGTATGAAATACGAAGTATGAATACAAAATATGAATAAATAAAACTATTGTCAATGTTTCCCCAAACTTTTTGTACTTCTTGTTGTTTAATATTTTTTTCTTTTGAATTTCTTTTTAAGATTTTTATTACAATCGTTATTTATTTCTCTGCCACTATTTCGTCTTTTATACTTTTAAAAATAATTTTCAAAAAGCATTTCTTTTTCATATATTGAAATACTTTTTCGTGTTTTATTTGTTAGTATAATATAGCTAGTTTTGGGAATAATGAGTATTCATGAACAGAGTTTTTGTTATTAACAGAGTTGAATGAGCATCATTACTAGGTCAGAAAATCAACTCAAAATCAACAGTATAATATTCAAATATACTTTTATAATAAATCATCAAATCGGTTCATGCGTTGCGATTTTATAACTAATTCTATAGTAGCCAATATTTACCGGTAGTCTATACGTGTGACATCACAGAGCTCGATCGTGGTTCACCGGTTCGGTCGAATTCTAGTAGCGCTCTACGCACACTCGCGCCCGAGCACCTATAATCTATTCATTTTGGCGTGAGGCAAAATGTAAACAAAGAATCTGAGGTTCTAAAACCTTTATAATGTCAGAAAGTACCGACTAGTCAATGATTACGTATAATTTATGTTACCTATAATTTATTAACAACTTTAAACTTAACAGAAAAAAATAACAACAAACTCAACAAATAAAACAAGAAAATAACAAGAATTTAACAAATATGATTGAATATGCACGGTCGCGTAATTAGGTTGATCGGGAGAGTAAAGATGGCTGACGTAAAAGAAACTAATCCCAACACTTCAATGTAAAATACTTATATCATGTCTACTTTTTAAATTCTATCGTATTATAATACATTTTAACTTTGGAAATGGTTGTGTTTTAGGTCTTTTTCCATGTCAACTAAAGTTGTTAAAATACTTTTATTACCAAAATAAAAATATATGAATAATACGAATTTATGATGAGTATGTACGTTAAATATTTGTGTAATATTTTATTCATATGTATGTACCTACCAGCTTTTAAAATAATAAACTAAATGTTTCCCTACATTTCCTATAAAAATAGTATATAATCTTTACTTTTGTCAAACGTGACCTTAAAAAGTATCCTTTTTATGGTTTTTTACATTTTGTCTCACGCCAATGTGAATAGACTATAGAGCTCTGTGACGTCACAGTCACCACGCGGCCAGACGAGAATTCTTTTAGTAATGTAGTCATAACTTCGTTCATAATTGTCGTAGAACAAAAATTTAACCACTGTATTTTATGGAACCCTTAGCTCTATAAATCTGCATTCTCAACTAAAATCTTTACGGATCCTCATGCCTTTCTGAGCATGTTTGCCTAGATATTTTTGTTAATTTAGTCATATTAACAATTATTGCAAAAAGACCTTATCAAGATAAACTTATGTGTACCCCAAGCACCAACAACTAACGAGAATGTATTCGTATCGCCATCGTCAAAGTTTCTATGGAAAGAGCTAGTTCTTACGTCAGGTTGAGGCGCTTCTGCGTTTCCATAGAAACTTTGACATGGCGATACGAATACTTTCTCGCTAGGTGCTCGTGCTTGGGCTACTGCTACTGGAGAGATAGATTATATCGAAATTTGCCACTAGCAAACTACCCTATATTTTCTATTCCTGTCTTTTTAATCAACTCAGTCCTCCCAATCCATGCATGCAACCCATGATTTGAATACTCCATGAGTATTTCAAGTCACGCCCCCTGTCTCCCCACTTCGCACCACACGCTCGACCTTCCCTCCCCCCGGGAATCGAACCCGCAGCACACAGCAAACTGTCTGCACAGCGTCTGAGCGGATTGCATTATTTAAATAATGAATGGTTGAAGTTTACAATACAGAACTGCGGTCCCGGCTGTCGCGAATCCACGACGCTTCGGACTTGGCGGAGATCTCCTCCATGGGCGCTAATTCGGATCCTGTAAGTGAAATTTTCATCTATTTTTATTATCATCAGCCTATTAATGCCCCCACTGCTGGGCCTTCCCTGTGGATGGAATACTTAGATTGGGGCATGACCCACCACGTGGGCCCAGTGTCGATTGGTGGGTGCTAATGACTGCAGATGCAGCCGGAAACAAAGGCTTTACGCGCCTTCCGAAGCACTGAGGAGCTCTAGATCGTAAATTTTTGGGCACCCATCCAGTGACCGATCACTGTGAAAGTTGCTTAACTTTAACGATCGTGGCCGAATGTGCGGACCACTTGCGCCATCGCGCTCATCTATTTTTATAATTTGCAATGCAAATACTTAACATGGCTATTCGTTTTTGCAATTTGTAGTTTGAACAGCAGCATGTTCTTATCATACTACTTATATAAACAATGAAAAGGAGCAATTGCTAGCTAATTTACAAATAGTAATGTATTTAACAAATATCATGTAAAGTGTGCAATACAAATGAAGCGCAAGCATAAAATTAGCTGTTTTTTTTTACATCAGCGATCAAACTGAATTTATTTTTAAGTTTGCCGAATTAAAAATTACGCGCTCATATTCTCTAAATAAGGCCTTTTTCTCATTATACGTTTTTTTTTGTTTCTTCTGAGAATTTTCTTATAAGAATTTCAGTCGTTTTGGTTGTTTGTTATATTATTATGAGCTTACCATACTTCACCACAAACATTCCAATAGCAAAATCCATAGATATTACATCCATAGGCTTACTATTCTATATATTTTTTTATGACAAAAGAAACAGCCACACATTGTGCCAATGTTTTGTCGAACAACTAACCACACTTGTGATTATTTGTCAAAAATGACAAAAAGGCAAATTCGAATGGCAATTGCGACATTTTTATATATCTATTTATATTTTACTCCAGCAACAAGGCAACCGCCAGTTCCAGCAGTCGCTCAGCTACAGTTCGTCTTGTGTCTCCGCATCTGAATTCTTCGATGCTGAAGAGCACGATGAAGACCTCAAGCCGGCGGAGATCATAGCGGCAGATGAGGTAATGTGTCGCTTTTATGGACCAATAATTCAAAAATTTGTCTTCAATTTTGTGCCGTATTTTTAGAGTAAATGGCTTCTTTTTGTAAAGAAAAATATACAAATCAATTAAATCGGCTATGTGCTGTCCCTCCACCTGATACTTTGGTCTGATATTAATGTAAAATTTGACATTTCAAACTCTTATAAATAAAACTCGCTCAAACGGGTTCAAAATGCGTGTTTTTATTACGTTTTGCATCCTTTTCAGGCTGCGCGGTCAGCATTATATTATCATCATATTATCATAATTCTGACGACGCAGCCTGAAAAGGATTTGAAACGTCATAAAAGTAATAAAAAGACTCATTTTAAGCCCCTTTAAGCGTGTTTTATTTAATGAGTGGTGTGCGTGAAAACCTAAGAAACAAATATCTTATGAAAAAAAAAATGCACAAACAATATGTAAGAAGTATAGCAAGCTACGCGATCATTTAAATCAAATAAAAAGTGTTTCAAATATCAATATGTACATTCAGACTTTGTCTAGTTCGGTAACATATGCTACTACAGTAAAATTAAAAAATGTTTAATTTATCAAACGGTACATCCTGTAAAAATGCTTCTCTGGCATATAAATGTTAGGATTATTTCTAAGTCAATGTAAACCCCCAGGCAGTATAGCTGTCATTGCTTAGCCCATATAGCGAAGGACACTGTTGCGTAACCAACCTGATACTTGGGCCTTGTTTAACTATATCTTCTAATATATAAAATTCTCGTGTCACGGTTTGCGTAATTGAAGTCCTCCCAAACTGTTCGAGCAATTTTCGTGAAATTTTATATGCATATGCAGTAAGTTTGAGAATCGGACAACATCTATTTTTCATATAAATAATTTTTTTTTGACAATTTTTACATGTGACATTATACAAAAATACATGACATACAACTTATAATTTTACACCCTTCTACCACCCATATTTTTATGGTGATACGAACTTCACTGGCTCTGGTAGTTGTAAATAAGAAATTCTTTATTATTTTCTCGCAGGCGGGTGTGATAGAATTAGATGGCGACTCGTCTTCGGAAGGGGGCTCGCTGAGCAGTGAGGAGGGCTCGGCGAGCTCGGAAAACTCGGATGGTGCTAGTAAGTATCTCAAACTATGTATTTACAAATTATAAGCGAGTAATGTTTAAAGTGTGTAGGTACATCGGCAGCGATGTTACTATTCTGATAAAGCAAATAATTTATCATTTATATTGAAAATCATGAAAAAGAACAAAATATATATTTATTTATATGTATAGGTGTAATATGTATTTTATATTTGTTGTTGTATAGTAAAGTAATAGATAGTTTTTATTTTTTATATTGATCCTCACTTAGTAATTCATATTCTATCGCCATAACATCTCCTACGCCTTTACTGGTTGATAGGTAGAGAATGCTTATGGCATTAAGTCCGCCATTTACTGTTTTTATGGTAATAAAGATTAAATAAATAAACAAATACAATAGTCTTTCTTGTCTATCAAGTCATAAACACAGAATTTAAAATGACGTCAAATATTTATTAATCAGCCCGATGGTTGACTGGTAGAGAATGCCATGTGGCATTAAGTCCGCCATTTGTTGTAAAATGACAATAGAGAATAAATAAATAAATAAAATAATTTGCTGTCTTGCTAAAGTCACATTGCCACAGACAAAAACGTAAAAGATAACACGTTTAGCGTCCCAAATCACCAACGCTTTACGTGTCGACGCCCTTAATAGCAGACTTGAATCCTTTTTTTATGTGTAACATCTTTCCTCTCGCTTTTCTGCAATTTGTAGGAGTGATTTCGTGAAATGGGACGTAAGTGTGTAACAGGAAATCGCGAAAGCGCGCGCTATTTGATTTGATTTTAGAACATAATGTTCAAATGGCTTATTCCTTCTGTAGTAGGTTTTATTTCTTTTTTTACTTATATAAGGTGAGGTTTCAAATGTTACACATCATACGCGACTACTGTAAGGCTCACTCGTTTTTTTTTATGTCTGTTTGTGCCATATTAATCTCTACAAATTCTATAATTGCAACGGATGATCGGAGCCCACTCTTGCCACCGCCTAATTTGTTCTAGAAATATGACACGCTTGATTTTCATACAATTCAAAGCACATTCGTCATCCTGTTTAAATGTATGTCTGTGGACTTTAATACATAGTGGTACATTAATTTAACTTTTTTATGACATACGCAGTATTCTAAACAGAACAAGTATCCGTAAGTTTGAACCAGTAATCTTTTATTTTATCTATTATTCGCAGTGCTCTCAGCAGAACAAGTCTCTCTACGTCTGAACCAGAACGGCATCGAACCCCGTCCCGTGTCTTGCTGGACCCGTCGCACTTGCTTGCCCAGTCCTCGGCCCACGCCTGGTGGTCCCAGTTTATGGAACCTCCTATACAAGAACATTGGGAAGGATTTAAGCCAAATATCCATGCCTGTGACTATTAACGAACCGTTGAATATGCTGCAGGTTTGTTGAGCTAAAATAACACTTGTGGTCTATAACATAGGTTCTATTTTTGTGACAATAAATCTATAGCCCGCGTAATGGAACGCCACCTCCTATACAAGAACATTCGGAAGGATTTTAGCCAGATATCTATCCCATCACTATTAAGAAACCCTTGAATATGCTGCAGGTTTGTTGAGCTAAAGTGATACTTATGTAATCTAATGTGTAATTTAGTTAAGGTTTATTTTCATATTTACTCCTGTACAAGAATATTGGGAAGTTCTTGAGCCGTGTATCCATGCCTGTTACTATCAACGAACGTTTAAATATGCTGCCGGTTTTGTTGACCTAAAGTTATCCTTATGATATAAAATAAGGTATATTTTCGTAAATAACAGCCCCAGATCCACATAAATTTTTGCGCGATTGAGTAACAAACATACAAACTTTCACATTTATAATATAAGTAAGATTAGTATGGATTGCGCATAATATATTACGAAAAGGATTTTAAACTGGATATTTATTTATTTAATAATTTTATCCTACCTTCTCCAACAGAGACTTTGCGAAGAGCTCGAGTATTCCGAACTATTAGACGCGGCTTCAGAATGCAAGAACGCCGTAGAACGTATGGCTTTAATCGCCGCTTTCGCAGTCAGCGCTTACGCCTCATCAGCCCATAGAGCCGCCAGCAAACCATTCAACCCGCTACTCGCCGAGACCTACGAATGTGTCAGAGACGATAAGGGATTCCGGTTCATTGCCGAACAGGTAAAGAATATATTTACAAATACAAATAATACAAATACAAGCGCTTTATTTCCATATCGTATTATTACATTATATATAACTAATAAATATGAATAGGACATAGGAATAGGCACCGCGCAGCCGGTTTTAAGCCTACCCATCGTCGAATTTTTGTGGTTAATTATATAAATTTCAATTCAATTATTAATAGCCAATTAAATGTTAATTTTATTAATTACAATGTCAATTTATTATGTAAGTTGTCATTCAAAGCTTAGTCAAGTCAGTATTTATTGTTTTAAACTTTCAAGCTCACTAACATTATAGCTATTTACGGGTTTGTTACCATGTACCTTGTTTTTATGAGTCTCCTACATTTCGGCACTGTTGCAATCGCCATGATCACGGAGTAACTGAAGTAATTGCGGGATGATTGTATGTTTGTTAGAGGGTATGTGCAAAAACCACAAAAATCAAAAAAGTGTCGTACCGCGATCTACAGTGAGTATAGGGTATTTTCCAAAATTTTGAAAACTGCTTACATTTAAAGATTGGGACAAACGATTTAACAGAAAAAATTAAATTAAATTAATTAATGTCTTTTTACTCTCGCACGAAGCGATTTGCTTCTGCTTTCATTATAAGAACGGCTAGGAAGTGGAACTCCTTGCCGAGGTCGGTTTTCCCGGACCAATATAATATAATCTGGACATCTTCAAGGCCAGAGTGAACAGGCATCTTCTAGGCAGGCGTGTACCATCCTAGGCCTTATCATCGCTTTCCATCAGGCGAGATTGTGGTCAAACGACTATTAAGCATTAAAAAAAAAATACACAAATTTTAACTGCCATAAACAAAAAATAGACCATATTCTATGGTTTTGTTTTGCCGATGTCAAGTAAAATGGCCTTAATAATTCTGGCTCAGCTTTTCTACAGTTTCCCTATAATTCCTATAGGTATCACACCATCCGCCCATATCCGCTTGCCACGCGGAATCGAGCCGTTGGTGCTTCTGGCAGGAAGCCCGGATCAAGACCAAGTTCTGGGGCAAGTCCATGGAGTTCCAGCCTGCTGGCAGAGTCCACGTGCGACTCACTACCACTGGAGACCATTACAGCTGGAATAAAGTGAGTTTATTACATCATTAATAGCTCTTGGGTAGCTGGGTACGATTTTTTTTCATCGTCTACCCTGTCGTGTGGGATATCGTTGAATAGGTCCTTTAAAATTACCTAAGGGTTCCTAAGACTATTTAACGATTTAGGGATCCCCTTCAGAAATATTGAACTTTAAAAATCAAATTTTTATTCGAGTAGCAACCTACACTGCGCGTAGCACGACGCGCACTTGGCCGGTTTTTTTTAGTATCAATATGTATTTCTATATAAATATACTTATATATGTACTGTATATGTATTCTATCCGTTACCCTAGTATCCCATATCACAAGCTTTACTTTGGGGCTAGGGTAATTGGTGTGCGTGTTGGAAATATTATTTATTTATTTATTATTGTTTAGGTGACAACTTGCGTCCATAACTTGTTCGGGGGACAGCGTTGGGTCGATCAGTACGGCGATATGCACATCATGTGTCACGGTACCGACATCACGTGCAAACTCAACTTCATCAAGGTGAGCTCACACAAGCAATCCAACGGAAATAGTACTACAAGTTTTAGAAAACGATCTCATGTTATTTACTTATGTTTATGGAGTCCACAAAAAGAGGATATTTTTAATTCTGTTGTGAAAAACATTAAAATAAAAATTAAATTTTCAAATTGCCGCGAAAACGTTTCTCTGGACATTATGGGTGTATTCCGAAACATACATCAGTATACTGATCAGTGGTAATGACGTCACGAATCCGACGCCATATTGTACTGGTGTGCTACCATATTTTTACCGGGAAAACGAATGTGACGTATTCCGACCGAGCGTGCGTGGGATGCATTCGTATTTTATTTCTTTTTTATTTAAAGTACAATAATGGCATCCGAACAAAAAGAATTCTTTTTAATTGATGAGGTGAATAAAAAATCTTCTTTATTCGCAGTATTTTTAATATTTCATCGATTTATGACGTCAGTGCACTGGCCTGTATATTTCGGAACAATTCACCAGTATAGCGTCGACTCATGATGTCATTAGCACTAGCCAGTATACTGACATATATTATGGAATGCACCCTATGGCGTCTCACTAGTGACGTCACACGACTGTCATGAAAACGTCAAACGAAACAGGGTGTATTCCGAAATGTACATCAGTATACTGGCCAGTGGTAATGACGTCACGAATCCGACGCCATATTGTACTGGTATGCTACCATATTTTTACCGGGAAAACGAATATGACTTATGACCGAGCGTGCGTGGAATGCATTCGAATTTTATTTCTTTTTTAATTAAAGAAAAATAATGGCATCCGAACAAAAAGAATTCCTTTTAATTGCTGAGGTGAATAAAAAATCTTTATTCGCACTATTTTTAATAATTCGTCGATTTATGACGGCAGTGTACTGGCCAATATATTTCGGAACAATTCAACAGTATAGCGTCGATCCATGACGTCATTAGCATTGGCCAGTATACTGGTATATATTACGGAATACACCCACAATGTTATGTCACTTTGGCCGGAAGTATACTAGCGTGTGCCGTGATTTTAGATTTCGCCAATCCCAGGCGAATTCGGTCACGTGACCATTGAACAAAAAAATCGTTTCTATTTAATGATTTTTTAAAAATGCTTTTAATTATGTGTTCTTCCCGAATAGTAAAATCGTTGCTTATATTCATATTCAATAGAGATGCCAACAATTGGAACTTTATTTTTCTTACTGTCAAATAATAAGTTTCCAATTTTTGCTGTACTTTTCCCCTATTGGTCATATCGTTATATCATATAGCCTTCCTCGATATATGCACTATCCAACACAAATAGATTTTTTTGAAATCGTACCAGTAGTTCCTGATATTAGTGCTTTCAACCAACCAAACAGACAAACTCTTCAGCTTTATAATCTATATATATATAAAACTCAAAGGTGACTGACTGACATAGTGATCTATCAACGCACAGCCCAAACCACTGGACGGATCGGGCTGAAATTTGGCATGCAGATAGATGTTATAACGTAGGCATCCGCTAAGAAAGGATTTTGATCAATTCCACCCCCAAGGGGATAAAATAGAGAATGAAAGTTTGTATGAAACTTTGTCAATTTTAAACCGATCGGACTGAGACTTTGCATGCAGGTATAAGAAGAATCATAGATGAATGTCATTGTGTATAATACAATCCTGAGAACAAAAACTGTAGTCTACACTTCAGTTCAACACCGAAGCGAAGCGAGGGCGGGCCGCTAGTATTAGTGTAGATTTATAAATCTAGCAATTTAATGTTTTGTAGTATATTTTTTTTTTAATCTTTTTTGTTTTTGACCGTTTAGGCGAGCTCGTGGAGTAGCAGTCGCCACGAAGTACGAGGAATGGTGACCGGCCCGAGCAGGCTTCGTCTCCAGGGGCGCTGGTCCGAAGCCCTATACGCCGGGGAGCCTCCCGCGGCCCGCTGTATGTGGCGGCCTGGTGAGTACAGTAACCACTGACATTATACACCGTGAATTTTGATTTACCTGAGAAACTTGTTGAACTAGTTAATTGAGACAACGATTTTTTAGGCTGTATTTCAATTACGAATTGTAATTGAAATACAGCCTAAAAATCGTTGTTGTGTTGTGCAATTACGAAACCTTAACAATTTTCTGTCTGTCTCTCTCAACACTTATTACTTTAAAATACAACTACCCTTCCCTATTTTACAAGTCAGTTAGAAATTAAAATGAAACCATTGATAAGTAACCTCCTTGGTAACGTTGTTTCGGAGTAAAAGATCGTTCCATTGTTAAATTATACGACAGATATGAGTTTACTATGTAATTTATTACGTCGTTAAATACGACAGATATGGATTTTCATACAACTTTTGCCGGCCGCTACTCGCATGCATCTGGCCAGTACAGCAATTTGGATTTATATCAAAGAAGGTTATCAAAATAATGCTTAAATTTCCAAGCTTGTTTGTTAAAAAATAAGATTTTGGTCACCCATCCTATGCCCCAGCCATTACACAACACCCTAGAAAGCAAGAAAGCGATGGTGCACCTTTACGAACTATTGACCGAACGGTTGCTTCTTCTCTTGTATCTATGTGCCCACTGACACTTTCCAGTTTGACAAGGAACTGTCAGTTTATTCTCTATGCCTGTGGTTGTATACTTCATGGAGGTTAAAGAGAAGGAGAACGATCTCTACGTGCTAAAGCATTAGCCCGCCTGGCCCTGAAAGATTGTAGAATTTATAGTTCATTTTTCAGCCACCAGCCGCGCTACCGTCGGTAAGTAGTATCTGTGAAGTTAGCTATTTATGAGTACAACTGGATGAAGTTAGTTGAATAATATACAAATTTTCTTCGCGGCATTGGTCATTTCAAATTAGCGCACAACAGCCCGCTTTTATTGAGACAACTTAGCGATCGCAGCGCCTCACTTATATTGTCCATATTTCTGGGACACTATTATCTACATCGACCGTTCTCCTTCTCTCTAACATGCATGGTATACTTGGTTAATGATTTTGTTTGTGAATAGGTGCGATGCCGCCAGAACACGAATTGTACTACGGCTTCACTCGATTCGCGATGGAGCTCAACGAAATGGAGCCGGGCATGCAGAAGATGTTGCCGCACACTGACACGAGGCTACGGTAACTTAATAAATCTCTATCATGGCAATTTGTTTTTCTAGAAAAAAGTCCACGCCGCCCAGGCAACAGACAGGATTCGATCCCGCACGTTCCGCTATACGGGCGGACCAACCAATTATAAATAAATAATAAATATTTCCTGCACACCACATTTAGCCTAGCCCCAAAGTACGCACTGTAAGGCTTGTGTTATGGGATACCGGATAGAATACATATATAAGTATATTTATATAGAAATACATATTAAACATCCATGACTGGAGTACAAATGCTCGTATACATCACACAAACATCTGCCCCCACCGGGATTCGAACCCGGGACCTCTCGAGGCGGCGACACCTTGAAACCCGGCGTACAAACCACTCGGCCACGGAGGTCATCAAATTATGCTATAGTATTTCTTAGACTGCAAGACAGCGCCATCTCTTCGCATTGGTTAACCAACATGGTGCCTGGACAGCGTAGATTTTATTCTAATAAATTTTTCTTTTGTAAATAGAACAGTTAATGCTTAAAATAATAACATAATCAACCTTAATATATAAAAATGATGACCCATGTTTCACATAGCCATGCCAAATCTTGAGAACGACTTTATCATTTGATTTATCATCCAACTCTAATAAAGCATTCTAATACTTTGCAGAAAAATCTCACGGAAGAATATAAGAAAGTTGCACTAAAGATTAGAGAATTTAAGAATAAGGCCGCCTATTGTGTACGTTTTCACTGTCATGTTTAATGTCTTGTATGTCCTGTGAGGTGTATGTCAATAAAGAATATTATTATTAATAAGTAATTAGTTATGCAAATGTTCATTCTATTTTCTCTAAGTTTCCCATTTCAGATTTTATTAATTTGAGCTTGATGGTTTATTCACTCCCTCCAAATATTTCATATACAAGTCCGACTGACATGTTTTATGGTTTTTAGTGCTGGAGTTCGAAGTAAAAAATCAACTGCAGGTTGAATATTTTGCTTTTTGCTTATCTGCTAGTGTCAGTCTTTGTCAAATTCTACAGTCTAAAGGTAGACCAGAGTGCATTTGGATTGGAAGACGTAGCTCAAAATCAATTACAGATTCTAAAATATTGCGTGGTTCATAAAACTATTAGTATTATATAGTTATTCGTGTTTCAATTACTACTAGTTTTCCCAGCGAACTTAGTACCGCCATAATAAATTAGGGGTTGGCGGTAGAAAGGTGAAAATTTAGGGTTGTATGTATTTTTGTATGATGTATCATAAAATAAAAGTTGTATCAAAAAAACAATTTAAGGGTGGACCACCCTTAACATTTAGGGGGATGAAAAATAGATGTTGTCCGATTCTCAGACCTACTGCATTGCATTAAATTTTACCATAATCGGTCGAGTCATTTCGGAGTAGTTCAATTACGCACACCTTGACTCGAGAATTTTATATATTAGATTATATTATTATTCTCAATGAATCCTTACCTTTACTTATGTTAGTCATCATTGAATTGTACAGGCCAGATCAGCGCGCGTTAGAATTGGGCGATGTAGATGCGGCGGAACAATACAAGCACGAATTGGAACAAGCGCAGAGGGAACGACGTCGCGACTGTCCAGAACATACGCCTGCTTGGTTCTGGTAAATTATGAGAATTTTTATATTTATGTTTTAGTAATAATAATGAGAATTTCTTTTAGTAACGGTTAGAATACATATGTTGTACATATTTAAGTATATTTATATAGAAATACATATCAAACATCCATGAATGAAATACAAATGCTCGTATTCATCACACAAACATCTGCCCCCAACGGGATTCGAACCCGGGACCACTCGAGTCGGCGTCACCATGAAACCCGACATATAAACCACTCGGCCACGGAGGTTGTCAATACAAGCACGAGTTGGAGCAAGCGCAAAGGGAATGACGTCATAACTGCCCAGAACATACATCCGCTTGGTTCTCGTAATTAATGAGAATTTATAGTAGTTTTAATTAGGAGAAGGTCGGATTAATGACTCTTAGCCAGCTTATGTTAAATGACCATGAAGTCAAGACGTGAAATGCAAAAACAATCATTAAAATCGGTCCAAATTTCGGAGATAATAAGAGCTAACAACAATAAAGGTGAACATATCTATGAGATACGAAGAATTAAAAAAATACTGAGGAATTGACCCACAGATGTTTAAGCAAAGGGAGGGTTCTGAAATAGCGAGATTCCATTTTAGGTCTTTTAACAACCTGTGTAATCATTACGTTTGTGATGTTCATCGGATATACATCGTCATGCTCGTGAACGGGTGCTGCCAGCGGAGATGAGTCTGCCCTGCTAACTTCTTTGATATTTAAATGTCAAGTTACACCTAATATAAATAACACTATATGTATGACACAGCAATCAAAATGCAGGTGAACAATTAATGTATAATTTCATGTTATGTAATGAAAGGTGACTTCATAGATCATCTCTTAAGTCATTTTTCAACTTGATGACTCTGTAAATAATAAAACTGGGAGAAAAAAAACCGGCCGGTTCTTCTCAGTATAAGGTCTCCCGCCGTAGATTTACGAACCGATGGCGTAGCTTCTAGACATTTATGAGTGCTTGTAACAGCCTAAACTGAATAAATGATTTTGATTATAATTAAACATTTCCATCGCCAGTAAAAGAGTGGAAAGCGGCGAGGAGACATGGGTGTTCACCGGCGAATATTGGAAGGCGCGCGAGACCAATTTCCCTGGACACAGCGCGCCTCGCATCTGGTGACTGTACCTATCCGCCCCTGCCTCGCTCGTGAGTATGACAGTTAGACTGACAAACAGAGATTCAAATCTAAAGAAAAGTTTACTAGAAAAAAATCCACGCGGACCAGGCTGCAGACGGGACTCGAACCCGCACCCTTCGCTATCCGGGCGAATGCACTGACCATTATGCTACCGCGGCCCTGACGGCCGTGTCGAATTTTCTCTAGCGTTAGGCTACAAGGAATTTTCGGAAATGATTTTAAATTTTTTAGATTTTTTAAATATAAAAAAAACATAGTTTCTACATATTATTTAAAAATACCTATTCCTATTAAAATTATAAAAGTCATATATTAATTTTCTTAAATAAAAAGTATGTGTTATTTTTTTAAATGTTGCCAACCCCTGCATAGGGTAATGACCTTTCATCGAATTTGCTTACATTTTGTGTCTCATCTCGTTGGCCGTACTTCAAATGACTTGTCCGAGTGCGGCAATAATTTAGCCCGAAATAAAAGTTTTTTAAAACGTGTACCATTAATTTCAGCGTGTCCCGCAGTGCGAGGTGCTCTGCTAGTGGTTGTGTACCGGTCGCTTCCTGCTTTATTACAGCTTTACGATTAGCCTTCGTCGTCAATCATAATGTAATCTCTTGTATAACGTTAACTTTAAACTAAACATGGTCGCGAACACAGTACGAACGCATCTTCAGTCGACAACTTTAAAACTAGGAAATAATACTTTTTGTCAATACATATATATATTGACAAATTTATCTTTCATCATGCCGTGTCAAAACCAAATTGTTTAAGCTAGTATAAAATAGCTTATATATAGTGTGGTATATTTGGTTAATTAAAAATGCTGTGTGAATGAATAAAAAACCGAGATTAGAAGAAAAAACGAAACAATTTTTTTTTTTTATGCTTTGATTATAGTGCATAATTATGCTCTATTTATGGCCGACACAGTCATACTGTGTTTACGGTACACTTAATTAAATATTTGAGTATTTAACATCATTTTATACATACTTACGTAATCATACAAACTTTAATGCTGGCACTTCTCATAACTGGCTTCTCGTATTTGCCATTTGTAAACTTGACACCAGCCTCAACTTTTCTTTCCCTGTAAACAAGGATATACTGCTATCTAATTGACAAAATAGCAACTAAGAATTGTCTGTCTATATTTGAGATGATTTTGTACTGGTTTGTATATTAAACGCCAGTTGACGACTTAAGATGCGTTCTCAAACTGTCCCTTTATTTGGAAACCTTTCTTGTCGATTTTCTGTTCTACAAGATCCAAGTCAGAAAGATAGCCTTTTAACTAAATTGTAGAGAGAAATGTTTTCAAATAATGAGAAAGATAGCCTTTTAACTAAATTGTAGAGAAATGTTTTCAAATAATGGCGCGAATATGCTTTTTAAATAAGCCTTGTAATCGAGAGAGATTTAGTTTTAAATTTTATTTCAATACAATTAATGGATTACTGTATGAATTTAGTTACATAACACAAAAAGACATGAAGTTGCGTAAGAGTGGGATACGCACCCAAATACATATGTTTATTTTTGTGCGGCTACTTAAGTTATGTTTTATCGAACCTTAATTAATTCTATGCTGTGTCCGGAATGTTAAATCAAAATGTGATAAAGGGGTCAGTTTTATTGAACAATCTGAATTTTATTTAAAGTACAACTTTTTTTACGAAACAGTTGTTTTTGGTTAGAATATCTGTAAATAAAGTGTACTCTCTCACTCGACTCGGAGACGTCAATGTGACCCGTTGTCTTTTTCTATCGCTATTCCAAAGAAAGGGACTGCACTATCGTTATTCAACGATTAATTAGCGACGACGTTACAATTAGAAATGCAATCAGACAGACAGGAGGGCAATTTAAGAGAGCTACATTATTCCTGAGTGACGCAGGCTGTATACTAAAATAAATTTCACCCGTGCAAAGCGGGGGTGAAATCGGGGTAGTCCACTAGTTAAACGTGTATGTTACCCAATAGTAAAGGAAGTTGTACTTAAATTAGTTTCAGAGCTTGCACAGCAAAATTGACTTTAAAGACTATAATTGCCAAGAATAGACAGATTTTTTGAATTATATTATTTACATTTTTACGATAGCTGTTAGCAACTATAAGTGGTAAGGTGTCATCGGCAAATAATGAAATGGAAACGTGATTTTAGCTTAGTTTATTTATATAAGTATTCGTTAATTTGGTTTTATACTCATTTTTAAGGGATTTTGTTATAAAATTGAATTAATCATGTAGGACACACGTTGTCTTTTTTTTTTAAGTTGTATAGTTTTATTTTCTTATCTCTCTCACGAACGCGAGCTGATTTTAGATGATAAATTTATAATAATACGTAATAAATATATTGCTTTAAAAGGACGCTAGCAAAGATAGATAAAGCAAGAAAGAGGAATACTCATTTTTTCGAAATAATGCAGATACCGCATCATGAAACCTTTCTGTGCTTTCACTATTCACTAATTCATAACACAGCTAGGAATGTATTAGTAGGACAAGGCAGGGAAATATAGTCCGTAGGTAATACCTGTTTCAAAACAGCCATTAAAGTCCCTATAAACAAAGTAAGCAACACAATTGTACAGTCAACAAAACATCAAGTTGCCACAAAATATACAATAAATAATGAAAAATCTCAATCTATTATGAATCTTATAGCGAGCACATAAGGATCAAAATCAGTTTAGGATTTTCGACAGTTTTTGAGAGTCTAATCTGTGGTTATTTGTTATCTGTATTGTTTAATGTTTTATTGTTTCTCGCACTGACTTAAGTTTCCAATAAACATTTCTAAAGTTGTACATTGTTGATTGGAATCTGTTAATTGCTTTTACTTTAATCCTAATGCTATTAACCCCTTAACAAACATTAAATTATATTCTGCCTGTATTACAAATAATTTTAACATTTACCTTATTTTGATAGTTTAAAGTCTACTAGTTAAAATATGGTCCTCGAGTCGCCTTCGCTATTTATCTACGCTAGTGTTCTTATTATGTTAATATACTAACTGAAAAATATTGAAGTACATAATAAATAATATAAAGTTAAAATTTTGACTTAATTGTTGAATAGAAAAAAAACTAATTTAAATTTTACTTAGCTTTTAAGATAACGTTTTCTTTTGATTTCAATGTATACTTTTTTCGGTATTAAATGTTGTAAGTATACAGTTTTAGAATATTGTGGCTGTGAAATTGTTCCATTACAAGAGAAAGTAAAGTATGTTTTGTTCTACTATTGTATTGTATTAAAACTGTTTTTGTTACTAATCTTTTTTGTTGCTATTTCTGTGACACGTAGGTAATTATTACTAATGTTATTTGGGTTAACAGTTCTACCAACCAACGAATGGTTTTAATAGACTAGCTTTTATTGTATTATTATAAAACATATACAAGTACATTCTACTTAATTATAGATTTAACCACCCTAAGATCAAATTGCCTTAAGCTAAGTTTAGTCACAAAATCTGATAAACATAACACACTGTAAAGAATTATTATTACACTTAAAACAAACTATAAACCAACTTCTGGAACGTAAAGGAGTTCATTTAATTTCCAAATGCTTTTTTTGAAAGTTCAAATATTTATGAGTGAGTGAGTAACGAGTTATTGGAAAATTATCAGAGAACCAATCCATACAGTCAATCGCGTTGTGTAAAATTTATTTATCCAACATTTCTAACTAGAAAAAAATCAAAGCGGCAGAGATATCAGGCTGGACTTAACCTTGCAGTATAAGAAATGCTAGAAGGAATTAAATATGTGGCCGAGTTGATTTTAATAAAAAAAAGCGCTGTATATAAAAGTAAGCACTTAATGCTTAAATAAAAATGTAATAAAAGCTTTATTCTTTCACCATACATAATACGTTTCATAATCCGCAAGATGGCGCTTTTGGAATATCATACAATTTAATGTTTACGCAAACGCAAGTAACTACGCTTACTTACTTACATGTTTACAAAATTTGATACCCAAATACATGATAATGATGAATTTATAAAAATCAATTATACAGAATTGCATATACCGCAAAATAAATACATGTACGTATACATAACAGCTGTTCACTCTTTATGAAATTGTCTTAATCCAATGAAAATATTAATGGTTTGGTTTAAACGTTCAAAACTGATTGCAGAATTTTGCCATTTTATGGTGGCTTTGCGTGCTGTTGCTCGTACAAAAAAAATGTTGTTATGTGAAAAAAAATCGTTATTCCACATTTATTTTACAGTAATCATACGTAAAATTCCAAATTTCATTTATTTAAAAAAATCCTTACATATATTATTGGTACTTTAAAAAATGCTAGCGTAAATGTATTGAATTTGATAGTTTTAGGAATGTACTCGATCAAAGAGGGAACTTCAATCGTGTTATAGTATTTATAATTTTGCGTGTTAGTTTACTACTCTGATCAATAGATGGCGCTAATTTTATCACAAACAAAACTTATTGTGTTCTGGCAATAGGTACAAGTACTTTGGGTAACCCTATTTATTTTTTATTGTACCCAAGAAATGGTATGTCAATTACTCGTTAAGGAAAGTATTGTAGACGTGTTTTAGATGGGAAATGTAGAACAGTTTACATAGAGTTGCAAAAATTATGTCTTAGAGACAGTGGCAAGATTTCTTAACAACCTACCTTACAACAGAATACAAAGTGTTCCTTTTAAACTTCCATAATAATTAAGTGCGCTTTACGCTATCATGCCGACACTTTGCTTGGCTATTCGTGTTCGCTATTTGTAAACCTGACATCAGTCTGTCCTTTTCGTTTCTAATAAAGCATGATAAGGACAGGTTGATGTCAAGTTTATAAATAGCAAACACGAATAGCCAAGTGAAGAGCCCGCATCACATAACTGCATCACTTCAGTAGAATCATTATAGAAATCAAATTAAAAAACCATTTTTGTTATTTTTACGTTAAAATCAAAACTCATATTTGCATAAATTATGAGTTGTTTTTTTCCACTTTATCTATATTGTGCTTTGTACTACTAGCTAGGTGAAAGATTTATATCTTGCGTTGCCGCGTTGTCGCAAAAAATAAAAAAGTCACAAATTATTTACATAAAAGAGTAGAACAAAAGTGAGTGAATGAACGCGATGTTAACCTGTTATGTTTTAATCTCAAAAAGTTTTTCGGGGTATATAAAAAACTATGCAGCGTGGTTAGGGACGTTTTTTATTAAAAAGAACCGTGTGAAATTAATCTTTTTAAAGGAGTTCTCATATGGGTGGAGTTTAATTATGTACTACTTCATTACCTCCGAGTTCTGAATCAGATGTGTTTCCATCCATTGGTTTTTTTAATATCGCTCGCAATGTCGGAAAATCTTTAATTTTTTACTAGATGTAAAAAGGACTCAAAAAAAAGTTAGAGAAATATTTAAAATTTTATCAATACTTAAAAATGGAGACGTATTTGATTTAGAACTTTTTGCAATAGGAAGGAAAGGAAACCTTCGATGTATAATACCTGCACTTCGCTTGGCTATTCGAGTTTGACTTGATATCAGTCTGTCCCTTTCATTCCCTATAAATAATGAGAAGGAAAACTGTTGACAAGTTTGCAAATAGCAAATACGAATAAGTGAGGTGTCGGCATAAAATAACCAAACATTGGATTTAGATCCTTCGATTCGCTTCGTCTATTGTAAGATACTGTTATGCTAGCACTTACATGGCTTTTCGTTTTTGCTATTTGTCATTTTGACAACAGGTAGTCCTTATCATACTCTAAAGGAATTGAAAAGGAGATACTGTTGTCAAGTTTACAAATAGCAAATGCGAATAGCCATTTGAAGTGCTCGCATTAGGCTATCCTATTATATCGGTGTTGTTGCTAGGAAAGTGATAGTTACATGTCTAGTTATTTGTATATAAGTGATATGTTGTATATTCGTTTCTATTGATTTATATACATTTCGTTATTTAATTTTTTGTGTACGCTTTGCTGCGTAATACTAATTATATTCGAGTTGTTTTTTTTATTAAGTGGTTTTAACCATGAAACTCAATTTAAAATAATAAATTGTAATTAACCAGTTTATTTTTTATATTTGCATAATTCGTATTTCAAGAAATATCAGTTTCATGCTTACAACCACAGCTTGCTTCTAAACATTAAGTAATGAATTTTTTCTCTCTGTATTTTATAGAGGATCGATCGTATATAAAGGCTAAGAATAAATCGATGTTATTACTTGCTTTTCTTTGGTATCTATCTGGTATACGGGTTATTCTGCTATGTTGTATAAAAAAACGACAAATACGTTATTAATATAAATTAAGTGTCATTAAACAATTGACAATAAAATGTTTTCTTGTATAAAAACTATTGTTGTAAACTGTCTGTTATACCTACTTATATTAATTATGAATTTATAGTTACATTGTAATAATTATCATTGATGAATTGTTAGTGATTAACGCGACTTTTGAGTTAAATTTATGATATTAACAGAATTTTTATTTTCATTTAGATTTTTTTTGATGTTCTCATACTTGAAAATAAAAGACGTAATATGTATAAATTACTAATGGGTTTCTTTAGTTTCAAGAGTAAAAGTCAGAGCGTCATCAATTATTTATAACTTTTTTATATTGTGTCAATCGTTGAAGTTTCCAAACTGAAAGTTGGTTTTCATGCAGTCGAAACCACATGGGATCCCAGTGAGCTAAGTTTCGGAATTGCAAATCAGCATAAAAACAAAAATATTCTTGAAAAACAGAATTGCGTTCAAATTGCAATCGTTAACAGTTCTGCAATATGAATAAAATCTTGTATTCATTTTGTGTATATTTATACTTAAAAAAGTACTTTACATCTCGAAATTACTGTAAGTACCGATTGAAAATTCGTGCGCAAAATATGAATTAATAAAAAAGTATTTTCAAAATGACGCTTATGACATGCTTATCCAAAAGCTATTGTGCTAAGATTTAATTTTGTTACTTATGGATAAGTTACATAGCTCTTGGTGAAAATTAAAACAAATTATATTGAAAGGAACTTAGTGTTTTATTTATATCCGCAAACAGGGCTGTATTAAGAGGGGAGGCGGGCAATGTTTTTTCCATACAAACGTTCCCGACCGATTCCTCCTTGATTCTTATTACTTATGAAATGATTTTCATACATAAAATATAATTTTACCGATTCTATGCTCCTATGTCTTCCTTTCTTCGATAACTTGTGTTTGAAAGAAATTAGAGGCCCTCAAAAATTACAAAATTCATAAATTTTTATCACCACTGAAGACGTCTAGTGTGGAGATTCAATAATCATTTACAAAAAATGCAAAACAAAGAGGCCTAGTGTGACTTTTTTATGGGTACAATTTCATTTACATACCATTATCTAATTTTTGAGGAGGAAATCGTGGACCCAACCTTGACCCAAAAAATTTAGCTACCGTTGTCTCTATCGCACGGTATTTGCCAATGCGCGACAGCAATAGTTTTTTCATATACAAACCTATTTCTCAAATGTCTTTCAGCTCGCGTCCGCCCTTAAGGCTGGCTTTTCGGGCTAAAATAGGGACCGCCACTCCTTCATTATGCCGAAAATAACTTCACCCCACCAGATTTAAAATATGATAGGAAAATTGATGGACTTTGATTGGGAAGTTTAACTGCATCCTCCATCCATCCTGTTTCCCTACCTTTACACTCGTATGTGGCTGACGCACAAACCGTGCAGGCTATAAAGGAAAAGAAAACTGCTCCGTCTAACTCTTTTGTCATTGGTTTTACTTGTCAAAATCTGTGGTCAAAATGATTGTAGAACTAAATGTCAACGTCGTACCATCAATCCAATGATTTGGCAATTTTAATTTGTTTGGGTGTCATGTCGGATTCGGGTAATGAGAATTAGTAGCATTTTCTCAAATAATTTTATGCAGTTTATAATTTTTTTTAGAGTTACTTATAACATACTTTTTTGATTGTTAATTTTTCTCGCCTTCACTCATGATTTAAAGGTAAGCTGTAAACTTATTGGTATGTACACTGCTGTTTTGAAGTTAGCGCTCAGCAGCCTGGTTTAAAAAGTAATATTTTTTTGTATGTTTGTTTGGATTAATTTTGACAAGTTTTGAGTTATGTAAGTAAATCATGCTGCTGAGAAAACTGTTTACGACGATTGTCGCTGTTAGATGTCCAGCAATAATAACAGGTGAATGACCTTTTTTATTCACGTACAAAATCACAAATCTTTGTTTATTACAAGATCGAACGGTAAATTGTATTTGGAGGTATTATAACCTAAATTCACATCACATCTCCCACAGAGCCACTTACATGCAAATAAATTTAATTCATTTTAACTTTTATTCAAATAGACAAAATAGAGATCCAACTAAATTATGAAGCAAATATTGCAAAAAATTTTTGACTGAATACAGGCTGTCTTCACCAATGGACTCTAATTACTCATAAATCAGGTGGGAGTAGACTATAAAGAGCATACCTTTTATCAAAACAAATTATTTTCGCAGAATTTAAATATGACAGCTTTATTGCCAACAAGTATTTATTTGTATTAAGAAACTATTCGTAAAGTAACTATAATAAACTTATCAATTCTATTGAAACTTCTATGACACAAGTACTTAGATCAACATTGGTAAGCTACTAAGCAATAAACTTCAAATGATATTGGTTATCTGTAGGACATATAAGATGAGCCATTATTCAAATATTGAATATCATAAAATGTGTTTGTTCATGGTGATAATATAATATTTTAATTTTTTAGTTATTACAGTAGGACGCCGATTATCCGAATTAATTGGGACCGGGGTCGATTCGGATAATCGAAAATACGGATAATCGGACATAGACAAGTAATAAAGAAAAACGAACTGCCACACATAGAATAAACTTTATTACGTTTAACAAACACAGTTCTACAATACTAGATACAATAATAGAGGTACATAGTAGCAAAACAAAATTAAGAACAGTAAAACATGTAGTGTCTTGCCTCTAGCTTTCAACCATTAACAGTTGATATAAATATATATAGGTATTTAACATACTCGCTGGACTTTAGCGAGTTCCAACTTATTAGAACAAAACAAAAATGACTTGGTTTTAATTTTTTATATTACGCTTATGACCGATTCGGATAATTGGCGATTCGGTTAATCGGCGTTCGGATAATCGGCGTTCTACTGTATATAAAATAATATTTATTAGGAAAAAATCTACAGCAAAGACACTAAACTTTGACTTGTTTTATAACATGATTTTTACATTATAAGTCAGTATTTTCAGTCAGTTCGATATCTGACAAGGGTTATCTAAAATAATTTACTTATATAGTGTTTTGTTTCATATTTAACTATGAAGTTCGCAAGATGTCATCTGTGAATATAAAGTTTCGCTATTGCTTGACACCCACTGATCCTGAGCAAAACCCGGTGCTAATTGTGGGACAGGTTGCACATTTGAATTCACTCTCTTGGAATGATGTCCGATGCAAATTGGAGCCCCGGGTCACAGAAGAGGTATGCATAATCCATAAATAATAATCTATGGCCATATAAATATTTTATACTAAGTTAAGAATAGGGTATTTGACAAGTTGTAGAAAACAATCTCACGTAATTTACTAATGTTTAAAGAGTCGATAAAAAGTGGATATTCATCATTATGTTATGTATTTCAGTAAAAAAAACGAAATTAAAAAACTCTATTTTCTATTAACTCTCTTTTGTAAACGTATTTCTGGACAATATTGTCCAGAGACACCATATGGCGTCTCACTGGTGTGTGATGTCACATGGCTGTCATTAAAACGTCAAAAAATACAATCTAATGTCACTTTAACCGAAAGTTTACTTGCATGTGACGTCATTTTAGGCTCCACCAATCCCAAGTGTTTTGGGTCACATAACAATAGACAAGAAAACTATTATCTTTATTGTGGGTTTTTAGTAAAATTCTGAGTATTTTTTATGCAAAAATAGTAAAAACTCCTGTCAATATTCATTCTAAATACAGATGCTAACAATTGGCACTTTATTTTTAATACTGTCAAATACCCTATTAGATATTAGCGGCCAGACACCAATTAAATTGTATACATATTTCTCTTCAACTAATATTCATCTTTATTTTGCTTGAAATAGATTGAGGAATTTGATGCTTTGTGGTGTCTTGATGTGTTGCTATGATAATTTTTTGGGGCATCATACAAATAAACCCTTTTTATACACATCATTTTCACAACAATCTAAAGAATGTACAATAGGGAAATGTTTTGCCTAATAATGAGTCATATGATTTTCTATTATTTGAGATGTTGAGTTAGTGTTTAGTATTATGTTATACTATTGATTTCTTCAGTAGAAATATGACATCATAATTGTATAATAAATTTTTATTAGTTATATGAATAAACATAAGATAGATATACAATGAATTGCCAGTAATTTCCAAACACAAATAATAATAGTAAAAGTTCAGCACATATAGCTACATAAACAGTATTTGCAAAGACAACCCTATTGTTAAAGTATTAACTTAAAAAGCGATCTCTTCTAGAAAACCAGTTCAATCAAATCATGTAGTAATACTGCATAGAGCAACGGCAATATAAACAATAGAATAATGCAATAAACAATAAACTTAAATAATATATACAGTGAATATTGAGTTACCTGAGAAACTTTACTAGCTAATTCAGACAACCATTTATTATATTGTTTTTTCTTGTAATTTTTTTCAAAAAACATTTACTTCAACACACTTATGGTGTAATTATGATACAAATAAATCTACTTTTAGGGATTATGTGCTATTAACAAAAATAATATTTCCTTATTAAGTATGTTAGTTAAAATTATTGATATAAATCAATAATTTTGTATGGTGGTGTAGTATGTTTACTGTTTATAACTGTATGCACTATTTTTATCTACATGATTTTTAAGTTTCTCAGGTATGAGTTACCTGAGAAACTTAATGTGTATGTAAATGTCACTGCGTATCAAATATAACTTTACAGCTTTAAAAATGATGATTATTGTCTTCTTGAGATATGATAAAATAGAAACTGCAATAATAAGTACTTCTGATGGCAAACACATGATGGGAGAGCAAGTTCTTCCTTTCATCCTTATTCTTCACATCACCATTAGGATCTCGATGCTGGATATCAATGGCAATTAAAAACAAAGTTTAATTGTGCCATATGAAGCTGTGAAAACAATATAATTGAAATAGTTTGCCATGGCATATTCTTTTCCATCACTTTATATGCACTCAAAATATGACACACTCTGTTTTCTTTCATACAATTTGAAGCACAATCATCATTGCTTAAATGATAATGATGGTCTGTGATTAAAATAAGGATGATAACATGGTAAAATAAACGAAATGCTATTTAGTCCGTCAGTTCGTTTATCAACAAATAATGGACACTAGTTAGAGCCGACCATACTGTATGCATGGAATGTCTGGGCTGACTTGGTGGGGCGCGCGCATATTCGGCGGATGCTCGATAGGGTTACCAGGCTGTTTGCTCTGCTCATAGCTAAAGCTCACCATACGGTCTCCCTTGTGTCTGCCGCAATGTTATCAGGGGTGATCTGGACCTGCGGGCGCGGGAGCAACGAGATCTTCACGAGGTGAAGCGTGGCAAGCCACTGTCGGATCTTCTGGGCAGGTTACTGGAGCCCTTATGGGCTTCCCCATAGTTCGACCTCAAAAGATCGTTCAGTTGCATCTCCTGAGATTAAGAACCTGCGGGTGCTGCTGGCCAGCAACTTGCCCCATCTTTACACAGATGGGAGCAAGTTAGAGGGGAAAGTCGGGGCAGCCGTTAACCGTTTGGCAGGGGGGCAATGGTGTGAAAAACAAAGATCCTTCTAGCACTTTACTGTAGCGTCTTCCAGGCTGAGCTCATGGCGATCCTGGAGGCGCTCAGGCTATTGACCGAGAGGCCGACCCTAAGAAGTGGCTTTATTCTGAGCGACTCTAGGTCAGCCCTCGAACTAATTGCCGATCCCGCCTCGTTGCACCCCATAGCCGCGAAAATAAAAGATGTACTTGACGTAGAGGTACGACGGACATCGAGAGGGAGCCGGGGACGGTGGGTTTGTGTTGGATCAAGGCGCTCATCGTCTTAGCCGGTAATGAGAAGGCGGAACAGCTGGCGAAAGACGTGTCCCTTAAACTAAAGACCAGGCCCAAGTACGATCACTTCCCTCTTTCCAACGCCAAGCTCCCCATAAGTGCCGCTACTCTCGAGGAGAGTGGCAGGTGAGAGTGGATGTGGTCATCGCGGGGAGCACGACCAAGACCTTTGTGCCCTCCGTGAAGATGGCCATCTTCATTCAAAATATTTGGATCACGGAACCACATAAACCGCGACATGCAGATCCTCACCTGCCATGAAGGTTTTTGCGCGTATCTCCATAAATTCATTTTGGCTGACAGCCCTATATGCCCCTGTGGAGAGGGGGATTGTGATACAGTAGAGCACGTCTTGTTCGACTGCCCCAGGTTTGCTTTTACCCACAGTGATTGTGAAATGAGACTCGATGACTTCCTGTCTAAATTGTGACCATCCATGTTTCAATGGATTAGAACAGATCCAGGGAGTCGGGAGAAATTCTATAGAATGGTGATGCTAAGTGTGGGACGCCAAAACGGGACTCGATTTAATTAATTAAATTATTAAATATTGCTAGTCCATACACTAATTTATGAATTTTCACAATCCAATTTATACTAATTAATTTATTTATATAAATTTAACTGAATATTACTATATTTTTATAATTTTAATTCATTTTAAACCAATGGACTAATTAATACTCTGATTTATCTTTGACATTTTAGCAATTATAATAAATACATTTATACACTTTTACAATTATATTGATAATAGAACATAAGAAAATTAAGATAAACAAAGAATTAGAAACCAAGGCATACAAGTAAATGAAATAAGAATGTCCATATCGGTATGGGAATAAGGTACAGAGAAACAATGATGTAGTAGAAATAACGCTATACCTCTGCCTCAACAATAGCAGAGAGAGTTTTACAAATAAAAAACAATAAAATAATGGACACTTATTTTTTCTTTTGTCAATCAACCAAAACCTCAAAGTTTGGGAGTATGTTTTCATGACTTCACTTCTAAGTAAAACTAATTGTACCAAGACGTTAATATATTTCTGTAATGTCTTTTGATTATGTGAATAAAGAAAAAAGATGTATCCAATACTTTTTGCTAATCTCGTCATCCTTATAGTTAGATCAGATAAGTGGAGAATGTTGCTATACTCTTCCACAAGAAAATTACTTTAATTAAATACTTACCTTTACGATTGTTCTTTTGGCAGTGCTGTCACAGTATCATTGAGATATTTCATTTGCAAAAAGGATCATTTATTATTCTGTAGTCATGGCGTCGAGGTCTCTCTTGCGTCACATCTTCGCCCGGCGACTCCGTAGAGCTTTGGCCCCGCGCAGCCTCTCTGGCATCGCTGCCAGTACGCTGTTCTCGTCACTCGGCGCCTTCACGCTCGCACGCGCTCGCCAAGATCGTGAGGGGGACGCAACGAGCCATCGACGAATCTATTGTGGTAAGATCTTCTTATCATTATCAGTAGCCTTTGAATGTCTCCACTGCTGGAGTACAGGAGCTCTATTTTTGAATCACTCGCCTTGCGTCGAACGCTCTATTTCTACTAATTTTCATTCGACATAATTAAATCCGAATTTTTTAATCGCTCAAGTGCAACGAATGGGTGAGACCACTCGTTGTATGGCGAATGGTGGAGGCGAATGATAGAATAATTGTCAAATTTGTGTCAGACGTCACGTTAGTGTCAAACTTATACTTATTAAGATTTCTTGTGTGGCTGGTGATTGGATTTAGCCACTGAGTAAAATAAACTATTAGAAACTGTTTTGAAATGAGTGTTGTGACGTTTGAATTTTTCAAATGCCGGCACTTTACTTTGCTATTCATTAGATGACTTATAGTCGACGATAATCTATCCTTGTCAAGCTTTATATGAAACGACAAGGGCTCTCCAGGCCTTCTCTATAAATTTAACATGAGGAACAGGCAGGCCCAATCGGATTAGTGCATGTTAAATGCTAATGATTTTAAATGCAGTCATATCATAATCAACAACTATAGTGTTGGAAATATTTATTATTGAAGTTATACTTCTTTAGGCGCGTTATGAAAAAATGATGAGAGTGAAATTTTAAGATGCGCGTGCATAACTGTAACACAAAATTTTAACAGCATGAAGTTGGTCGCTTTAGCGAGCTTTACTTTTGTGTTTACCGCACATTAAGAAAATCTACCAACAAATAGAAATAGAATCTCTATTTAGTGGGTGCTAACGACTGCATTGTGAAGGCCTATCAAAAGTATTTATTAATCTGGAACAACGGAACCAAAGCGCGATTCAGGAGACTACAGCGCCATCTCTTGACCATTGGTGTAGTAGAACCAAAAACCACATCTTTATTTTTTGTAATAAAGTAACAGTTATAGGTATTCATATTTATAATATTTATCCACATGTTTCTAGTTTGTATATTCGGAATACGTGTTTGAGTTTCATACAAGTGCAAATCACATATGTTCTAATAAATTATATTCAGTAGCGATTTTAATTGAATATTTTGATTATTTATTTATTTTTTCAAATTAAAAGTGAACTTTATTGATTGTGTCCTTTTCCAGACTTTATTAATTTATTGTAATTAATTATTTGCATGCAATTAAAAACTAATTTTAAACGATGCCAAAGAAGGATAACTTCTCACGCGCCTACATAAGTACACGCACCCATTTTTTTATTTATTTATTATATAGTATCGTAGACTTTTTGTAGGTATTTATGTTCTATAAAACTGTAGTACATCATCGTACGCGATATAAGGTTATTTATTGGTATTTTTTCACACATTGGGTTATATGATCGATACTTTCATACGGAACCCTAACTTTTTTGAAAATACATAGTCTACTAGCTGACTCAGCGAACTTCGTACCGCCCAAAAGCAATTTGTAATAAAATAATATTGCGACTTTAAATTGAGATGTAAGCTATCCTATCTTTTAAGTTGTATCAAACTGCACACGGTGTGCAAATTTGATTTAAATCTGTTAAGTAGTTTAGGAGCTCATCCCGGGCAGCTTATACTTTTATAAAAAATTACTAGGAAGTAGAATAATGATACAGACGAATTTGTTTTCTTTTTTTACAAGTAGAAAGTTGAGAAGTAAACTTTAACTATTGACAACCCAATACTCAACATTTTTGACAAAATGAAAATCATATTGTGTTTGTTTAAACAGTTAGTTTGCCGCAAACGCGACGTATACGCATGCGCTGTGGCCATAGCTCGCTCCTTCCCCCTTTACGGGGCCCGGACTACAGCAACGCCGCTCGCTACCACGGGTTCGATTCCCGTGCAATCGTCCACCGTCACCGTGGAAGTGCTGCTCGTTAAGGAGGATAGTAAGCAAAGTCAGTATGACATTACAATTCGTAATTCTATTTTTTTTATAAAGAGTTATCTTTTCTATACTTTAGCAGAAGAGATATGAATGAATTGTCGTTTGCCTGTAGCATTAATGTCTTAAAATAGGTTAAAACGATTTCTTGACACTTAACTGTTAAAATCTATTGAATTTTAACAGATATTACCCCCATTGAATGTTTTATGCTGAATATAAAGCCGGGTGTCCAGCGCGTGTTTTGCCCTACGCAATCAAGAAATACATATCAACATTCAACAAAAACGTCTACACAAAACTTTGTTTCACTACACATATTTGTATGCATTAACATTTTTTTTGCTTTCTAAGCTCGATGGAAAACATATTCATAAATCCCCCCGCGCGGGTCGGCCATTCTTTTGTGTATTGTGATATTACCACAAAACTTTTGTCAAATTTGTCATTTGTTGCACCTGGATCGTAGTTTTTCAACGTAGCCCTGTGTATGTGCGCAGTCGTGTGTAGAGAAAGATGTTTCAAAACAAAGTTCTGTGTATGTGTTTTTGTTGAAAGTTTTCAAAAAACTTTTGCTGGAGACCCGGCTTTAGGCCGTATACAGAAAGAAAACCGATCGGCGCTTATCGGCGCCTATTGGCGCTGATCCTTTTTCTATGGATCGGCGCCGATAAGCGCCGACACGCGCTGGTCCGAATAATAAATAATTTGTATTTGAATTATTATCCTTATATTAAATCAATCTAAGTTATAATCTTTTTATAAATCTAATAACTTTATCTTTTATTAACTAAACGCTAAAATTATTTGTTTCGTACTTACCGAATGGTGACAACAAGTCTTTCTTCTGGAAGGATTGGTTGTTTATGCCAATTGCACCAATTTTTCATCAAACGATTTTTCACTAAATCCAAAATGTAACAAAATGTTTCTTGAATCATTCTTGTATATGTATAAAATCTTTGTTCATCAAATTTCAATTTTTTTACAAATAAATGATGGTATTCTCCGAAACGTTTCCTTTCTCTATTTATAGGATGTATAGCTTTTTTTCGCATTTTTAAATACACATTTTCTAACAAAACCAGATCATCGTCCGATGAGTCCGACATTTTGCTTGACCGATTAAAGAATCGGCTTCCTTTATGTAGGAAAGATCGGCGCCGATAAGCGCCGATCGGCTTTCGGCTTTCTTTCTGTATACGACCTTAGTTTGATCTTTTCTTAGATTACTTTAATCTTTCATAGTCACTAACATTTTACTAATTAGCTTTAAAATAATTAATAGTTAAGTACATTGTTTTTATAATCCTGCTATTGAGTCGCTATTACTGTAATGAACTATTTGTGTTATCCATCTTATATTATTTGATAGGTACTCACAAAGTGCCCCTATGACATGGTAATGATAAAACATGATACATAATATTGTTTTTTAGATGGCGATTCAGAAGACGAGAGCCTCATATTAGACCCAGTGCTCACCGAACGCAATCTATCAGCCGAGGAATTGACCACAATACAGAATGTGGCAGATGCTACAAGACTGGCAGCTCGAATTACTGATACCCCGGCCAATATTATGAATGTCGACCAATTCATACAGGTAAACATCAGTATCATCAGCCAGCTTATTCATGTCCCCACTGCTGGGGCACCATGCCTTCCCTATAATAATAATAAAATAATAAATATTTCCCATACTCACAGCAATTAGCCTAACCCCAAAGTAAGCACTGTAAGGCTTGTGTTATGGGATGCTACGGTTACGGATAGAATCTCTTATCTATTAGACAAGTCCGTCCGTCCGTCCGTCCGTGGTGCTGTTTCAGCGGCCAAACCGTAAGAGATAGATATAGAGAATGTTTAAGTTATAAGTTAAGAATAGTCTGATAAGACTACAAACCGGATGTGAGTAACGTAGCACTTCCGGTTTTCGAGAAATCACGTGATTTCTATTTCAAACGAAACCACACAAAATCTCCGAAGTTCTCAATTAATGAAATACATTTTTTTTTTTTGGTGAACATCTGGTTCACTGGTTTGCTAGTACATATACTAATACAAATATAAGTATATTTTATCTAGAAATATATATAAACATCCATGACTATTGTACAGATGCTCGTATTCATCATACTAACATTTGCCCCCACCGGGATTCGAACCCAGGACCTCAGAGTAGGTGACGCCATGAAACTCGGCATTTAGACCACTCAGCCACAGAGATCGTCCCTACGGATGGATTAAGGACCTTATTGTCCTTATAATTGTTATGTTGATTTTGTCAATCGTTGTTACAAATAAAATATTCTGTGACCCAGGAAGCGGCGAGGAGTTGAGGGACCGCGGTACGGGCGGCATATACGGCGTCGGCCCTAATGGCACTCTTTTAAACAGGCCCAGTTTGCCATAACTAAAACTCTTAGGCCCATATTATAGAAAGATTCTCAGTGAATGATCTAGTCTTAAACATAGTTAGAAAGGGATGTCGCTATATATAGCACATAGCGACTTCCCTTTCTAACTGTACTCAAGTAAAGATCAACACTTAGTTGTCATTCTGTAATACGGTCCTTAGACCCGCTAAATCTCAATGCACTTAAATCTAGATATATATACATAGAAAAATGAGAATTTGACATCATTGTATGGGATGAATCTAGTTTTAGTTAAGTTGAGATTTTGCAAAATTCCTGCAAATGGGCTCTCTTAAACAGACCAGACTTGCCCTAACTAAAAACTCGAAAGTAAATGAAAATATTCTTAATTTTTTAATGACTTATTAAACAGTCATTAAATGAAACAAGTTTTTCAATGGGTTTAAAATGCCTTTTTAATATAATTTGCCTTTGGTGGTTTTAATGATTGATGTGAGTGACAACTTATTATAGCATGAATAAATCTGTTGTAACACCTACATTCTCTTACTTAGGAAGCATGCGCAGTAGCCAAAGATCTAGACATAGAGGAGCCCACGATAATTCGCGGCGAGGAGTTGAGGGACCGCGGCATGGGCGGCATATACGGCGTGGGAAAAGCGGCCGCTTGCCCCCCGGCCTTAGTGGCACTCTCGTACAGGGTCCCCTCGGCCGTGGAGACAGTCGCTTGGGTGGGCAAGGGTATTGTCTACGATACTGGCGGTCTCAGCATTAAGGCAAGGGTGAGTAAACAATACTTCCTATAATATTTGGGTATAGCAAGAATGTGCCGTGAATATAATGCCTTATCATCATCAGCCTATTAATGTCCCCACTGCTGGGGCGCAGGCCTTCCCTATGGATGGAATAGGGAGATTGGGCCATGTTCCACCACGCGGGCCCAGTGCGGATTGGCGGGTGCTAGCGACTGCAGATGCAGCTGGGACCAACGGCTTAACGTGCCTTCTGAAGTACGGAGGAGTCGAAATATACGAGTTTTGGTCACCCATCCAATGACCGACCACTACGAGAGTTGCTTAACTTCTGCTTGAATGCGCTAACCAATGTAATAAGGAAATGACTTGAGACATCTTTCATGATAGTCAGAATATTTTTCTAAGTAAACTGCTGGTATCTGCTTAGTTATGATGTTGTTTTTTTTTAAATTTAATGGTGTTGGACATATTGAGTACGCCTGTAATACGCGACAATGACTGAGTGTTGTACATTTATGTTGTTGGTGTACCTTAATAATAAATAATTATTTCTCATTGACCTTCTTTGAGATAAATCGTTGTGTGTGCGTGAGACAGAGAGAGTAGAGGGGGAGACAGCGGTGACGCTGGCTAAGCTAACCTAACACAGCGAAAAATTATCGCTTGTTTTAATTGAGGCTGTCAGCGCAAAAGTGGCCTAACCCTCAATTATTCATATTCTGATTAAGCGGCTAAGGCCACTTATGAAGTTTACTTTGAGAGAAAAAAATCAATGCAAAGAGAGCTTTGCAACGCCATCTATCGACGCCTGTTGAAACAATGGATAGGCCGGTTTTGAATTAAATTTTAACACATTTTTATTTAATATGGTATTTGACAGTATTAAAAATAAAGTGCCAATTGTTAGCATCTGTGTTTAGAATGAATATTGGCAGGGGTTTTTACTATTTTTTACAAAAAAAAATATTCATAATTTTACTAAAAACCCACGAAAAAGATAATAGTTTTCTTATCTATTGTCACGTGACCCAAAACGCTTGGGATTGGCGGAGCCTAAAGTGACGTCACTCGCAAGTAAACTTCCGGTTAAAGTGACATTACATTCTATCGTTTGACTTTTAATAACAGTCATATGATGTCACACACTAGTAAGACTCCATATTGTCCAGAAAAACGTTTTCGCGGCAACTTGAAAATAGAGTTTTTGATTTGGTTATTTTTACTAAAATATACACAACAGAATGATGAATATCCACTTTTTACGGACTCCTTAAACATTAGTCAATAACGTGAGATCGTTTTCTAAAACTTGTCAAATACCCTATTGTAGGAAATGAATCAGAATATGGCGGTTAGGAAACTTTTGCGCTGGCAGCTTCAATTATTGATTATAATTTGCCAGACTTCCATGGTGGGAATGAAGGGAGACTGCGGTGGCGCCGCCGCAGTCTTGGTCGCTTTCAGTGCCGCTGTTAAAGCCAAACCCTTAGCCAACCTGCATGCCGTACTGTGCCTGGTTGAAAATACATGTCTGTCGTGGATTGCGGCCAAATAAATTACCAAGTTCATCCTTATTATAATTAAAATAGAAGTGAAATGCGTGTTTGTGTGTATGTGTGCGTGAGTGAGAGAGAGAGAGAGAGGGAGACAGCGGGGGCGCTGTCTAACCTAACCTAACCATAGAGGTATAAGAATAGAGTGGGGAAGGCGGCTCTAAAAGTGTCCGTCTAGAAGAGCGGTCTCTCATCTTCTTTCTCTTTCTATTAGAGGGACACTTCCACTTGTAGTAGAGTCTATATCTCCCCTACTCTATTCTTATACCTATATGAACCTAACACAGTGATAATATCGCTTGTTTTAATTATTGATTACATTTTGACAGACTTCCATGGTGGGAATGAAGGGAGACTGTGGTGGCGCCGCCGCAGTCTTAGCCGCTTTCAGTGCCGCTGTTAAAGCCAAACCCATGGTCAATCTGCATGCCGTACTGTGTCTGGCGGAGAACGCTGTCGGACCATTAGCCACCAGGTTAGTGGACTGTGTGTAGTGAACATCATCATCAGCCTATTAATGGCCCCACTGCTGGGGGCACAGGCCTTCCCTATGGATGGAATAGGGAGATTGCCATGACCCACCACGCGGGCCCAGTGCGGATTGACGGGTGCTAACGACTGCAGATGCAGCCGAGACCAACGGCTTAACGTGCCTTCCGAAGCACGGAGGAACTCGAGATAGAAGATTTTCGGTCACCCATCCAATGACCGACCACTGCGAAAGTTGCTTAACTTCAACGATCGCAGCGTTGAGCTGTCTTTTTTTTTCTTTCTCTTATTCTTTCCAAGAGGAAATCAAAGGGCTCAGTGTACGTAAAGCCTTGTTAAGTCAAAGAGAATACATAAAAATCGCATAGAATAGACTAACGAAACAGTATATGACCATTTTCACACACTGAAAAACAGAACGGGGAGCGCGAGACAAACCAAACAGAGGCCTCACCTCTCACTCCAAACAAACAAAACTCATGTGAGGTTTTTAACTCGTTACATAATATTCTATTGATGATATTTCTGTTTTGATTGTTCCTAGGCCAGATGACATACACACACTATACTCTGGACGTACAGTTGAAATAAACAACACGGATGCTGAAGGTGAGTAAAGACATAAAGATTTCGAAGATCTGAATTGGCGATTGGAAAATTAGATTGAAACTACACAAATGCATACTCATTACTTGATGATTAATAGAATAGTTGATTTTTTAGTTGAAAAATTCACTTCTTTATATATTTTCCATAATGCTTCTTTTAAGTGTGAACATATGAGACAACATCTTTTCTTTACTTTATATATTTTTTTTAAGCATGTCACTGCTTGATGTTTATTCTCTTTTCTTTCTCCTTTTGTTCTCAAACTTTCAGCATAGTTTCGTTTATTGATTATTTGAAAAAAAGCCTATTAATGATTTAACTTATTTCACGGACGTTATTTCAACTCTTGTCCAAAAGGTGCTTTAAGAATGTTACAGTGCTTTAAAATAATTATTAAATAAATTTCAAAGAAATCACTGACTTTTTAGTCTCAAACTATTCACCATTGCATTGATCCTACTAATATTATAAATGCGAAAGGTTTGTATGTTTGTCTTTTTTGTTATTCATTAACGCAATAAAGGGATGATCAGCTTTGGTTAAAGTTTCCCACACATAATACAGATGATCATCACAGTAAAATAGCACTACCATTTGGTGGTGTTGTGTTTCTGTCAGTGAGTAATGTTCCAGGGCTCCGTGGGGTAGGGGTATCGTATACATATTCTGGTATCGTACCGTGTAGGCTATGATCAAGAGAGGATCCAGCTTTGGCGCCAGGGGGGGGGGGGGGTCATATAGTCGTGGTATATGAAATATTGAAAGTACTTAAATAAAATCCCCCCGGGCTGGGTCCATCTGTACCCTGTGCGTATGTCATGAGCCCCATGACCCCCCCTGGATCCGCTCTTGGCTATGATTAGGGTTGCCACCCGTACATTATTATAAAGTATTGTACGTTATTTCGGGTAATTTTATTGTACTCACTTTATGCCAACAATAAAGTACGCGAAAATACTTTATTTGATATGTTTTGAATACTCGCGGATTAATTTTACATAAAATATGCAAAAGAAGGTTGATAGGAAGATTTTTTTCTGAAAACTGACCGACAGTATGTAGAATATGTTATGCTCATTCCTGCAACGTTTTCGTGGCTATATGGCTTTGTATCATGACTTTTCCCATAGTGAAAAAGAACTACAGATTCTTTAGTAGCCCCAAATCATTTATTAAAAGTTGCTCAAAGCAACGTAAAATATTAGTTTAAGCTTACTATTAAAGTGGAATAAAAAGTAATTTATTTTGGACACAATGTACCTTTTTTCTGTCTTATAATATCTAATGTACTTTATTTTGACAAAAAAGGTGGCAACCCTAGCTATGATGGCCGCATACCATCAGCCATACGCTTGTTTGACACCCTTTAAACAAAAAATATTACCTGTAAGACATAGGATACTCTGTCTCCCTGAAAAAGTTTAATTTCCTGTGAAATTATAAAGTCTGTTTGTCGTTTGCCTTAGAAAAATAAAGCCTAGTGCGCGCACGAGAAAGGCCCAACTCAAAGTAAGCCAGATCTGGCTTAGTTCTTTCCGCGTGCTGTCAGTGCTTGTCGGCGCGTGGAGTCTTGTCATACTACAATGCTCGCAAAAAAAATGTTTTTACTATTTACGAATAGATCTTACACATCTAAAAAACAAAATAAAGTGAAAAGGATACATTTCACGTGTAATTTATACATTTCATGTACGTATACTAAGAAACAATTATATATACACACACAACTTTTAACAATACAGTGTTGCTAGTTGTAAGTATTGCGCACAATATTTTCATTGTTTCATGGGTCAATATTGTTATAATATATATGTATACATTTCCGCGTATCTCTCAATAAATACCTATCATTTATTGGTGTAACCAAGACCATGAAAAATAATATTTCTATAAATAAATTGGTTAAAAATATTATACCATACCATTGTTGTCATTAATTTTTTATTTCCGTTATAGCATAAAATTAATATTCATGAACATAATCATAATATTCATCCCGCCAAATGCTTTGGCATCGCGTAACAAAGCATCGCGTTTCCCCAATTTGTGGGTTTGTGATTGGTGATGGCAACACTAAAATCATGTATTAGTGTGCGTACAAACATTCAACTAACGCACACAAGAAAATGTATTAGGCACGCATTACCGGCTTCTAGGCGTTATTATTCTTAGTGTAATAAGTTTTATTGTTAAAGGTCGTTTGGTACTGGGCGATGGAGTGGTATACGCATCCAGGGACTTGAAAGCCGATACTATAGTGGATGTAGCAACACTAACGGGGGCACAGGTAATTATGTTCTTTCCCATAACTAGGGATGCAACATCGTTCTGAAAAACATCGATATTCTAAAACATCGATGTTTGCATGAAAAACATCGATGTTCAAAAATATCGATGATAAGAACGATATATATAGTTTTTGCCGATGTTTTTTATTTTCAATAGGATGCTTCATTAAAAGAATTAACAATACTGCTCTATTCGGCTCGATGTTTTACTTACATCGATGTATCGTTTGCATCCCTACCTATAACTTGTTTTAGGGTTCCGCATCCTGAATAGTGATAGTGAAAACATCTTATGTAATTTATTCAGTCTAGGCTGTTACAAGCACTTGTGAATGTCGAAAAGCTACGCCATTGTTTCGCAAATCTACTGCGGGAGATCTTGTACTGAGAGGAACCGGCAAGAAACTCAGCAAGGACTCTTTCCTCCCTGTATTAAATACAGTGTCGTCAAATTGAAAAATGACTTCAATGTGTGATCATTCATGGAGTCACTTTCCATTATAAATTTAAATAATATAAAATTATGTCTATACTATTTATAAAATACTTATGTTACACAATAGTTTAAGAATGTCGTGTTTTACAGTTTAAAAAAAATACAATTAAAGTAAATTACTACAATAAACGGTACCAAATGAAATGATTCATCATTATCATCAGCCTATTAATGTCCCCACTGCTGAGGCACAGGCCTTCCCTATGGATGAAATAGGGAGATTAGGCCATGACTCACCACGCGGGCCCAGTGCGGATTGGTGGGTGCTAACGACTGCAGGTGCAGCCGGGACCAACGGCTTAACGTGCCTTCCGAAACACGGAGGAACTCGAGATAGGAAATTTTTGGTCATCCATCCAATGACTGACCACTGCGAAAGTTGCTTAACTTCAACGAACGCAGCCGAACGTGCTAACCACCTGCGTTATCGAGCTTCTCTGCGTTCACGAGCATGACGCATGAATATTCCAAACTTTAAGTTCCCGCATTTAACATTTCAATTCAATTCAAAAGTCATTTATTCACTTTAGGCTTTTACAAGCACATTTGAAAGTCGAAAACTACGCCATCGGTTCGCAGAACTACGGCGGGACACCTTGTACTGAGAAGAACCGGCAAGAAACTCAGCAAAGGCTGCTTTTTTCTCCCTTTTTTATTTCATACAGTGTCGTCAAATTGAAAGTTGACATCAAACTTGCAAACATGTGTTAAGGTCAACTTTCATCATATAATGTCAAATAGGTAACAATAGACACTTGACGAATTTACATTTATTAGTATTCTTCATTCAGGGCATAGCAACAGGCAAATATCACGCGGGCGTAATATCAAACAGTCGGCGCTTAGAATCGGCCGCGGTTACAGCGGGAAGAATGTCCGGAGACCTGGCGCACGCGCTGCCCTTCGCGCCCGAGATGCACTTCAGCGAGTTCACCAGCGTATGCGCCGATATGAAGAACAGCGTCGCTGTGAGTTTGTCTCTATCTCTCTCACACACAAACACTATACATGTCTGATTTTTTTTTTTAAGCATTAGTTGCTAGATGTTTAAATCTAAAGAAAAGTAAAATTGTGGGTTACCTACAATGCGAAGAGATGGCGCTGCCTTGCAGCTTAAGGCTAGGAAAATTTCGACGCGGCTAATAGGGCCGTGGTAGCATAATGGTCAGTGCATTCGCCCGGATAGCGAAGGATGCGGGTTCGAGTCCCGTCCGCTGCCTGGTCCGCGTGGATTTTTTTTCTAGTAAACTTTTCTTTAGATTTAAACTATACATGTCTCTCTCTCACTAACACACACACTCACATACAGACACGAAAAATATTATATTACAGCAGGACTAAGTTAACACACACAAACACACACTAGGCCAGAATGAACAGGCATCTTCTAGGCAGACGTGTACCATCGCAGGCCTCATCATCGCTTTCCATCAGGCAAGATTGTGATCAAACGCCTTGCCTATTAAGCATTAAAAAAAAGGAAAACACCCACACACATGCACAACTTTATGATTTCTATTTTAAATTTATTTCAACCATAAATAAATATATACTACTATTCAGTTTTTATGGAGTGGTTTTAAATTGTATCAAGGCTTGGGGGTCGTCTGTCTCCTGTCGTCGTAGCATGAGCACCACAATTTACATTATATCACGTTTTTATCTCGTCTAAATAACTACATAGTAATTTGACAAGTGAGCATGATAAAAACGCGTTTTATATTATAGCGCGGTGCTCTTGCTAGGGGGGGGCAGGACTACCAAGTAAACAATTTAACACACACACACATCACAAATTTATGTTTTCTATTTTAAAGGAGATTGCTCAGCTTCCATACATGTTTGGCCTAAAAACCAATAACCATGAAAAATTGTTTCCTACATTCGAAATTATATATAAATTACCGTAGAAACGAATATTATCGACGGCCACTCCTGAGAACTTCTATAAACCATATACACTGAATGATTTTGAGGTTATGTTTGCAAATAGGCACATAGGCATTAGAATAATAAAAACCAAATAACTTATATAGGAAAATAGGGCAATCAAGCCAAGTACCGATATTATGTATTAGATTCAGGTATATAGAGCATGTAAAATAACAGATATGTGCATGTTTTTAAAAACACGAACAGAAACTTTGTGATGATTGTGAATGAGCCAAAGATTAGAGAGAATTTTTAAACTCTCGTTAATCAAAGAAAGCTAAGAGCTGTAGGTTATACAGCCATATCTTCAGCAGCTTCATTATTTTTGTTATGTTTTTATTATAACCATATTTTAGATTTTTAGTGTATCACACCTTATAATGTGTTTATTTAGGTGTTTGGCAAAAAATGTACGGCAATAGACTTTATGATGTCGCCTACCATCTATATTAATTGTCTTAGCACATTTGCATGTAGTAAAAATGATAATAAAGTTGTGGATATTAATACCACCCGTGTAATAAAAAAATATATATATATTATAAATCTTTACAAAATAGATTTGTTTTGATGTTATATAAACAACCTCGATCAGTCTTTGTGAATGTTACTACACCCATAGCCAATAAAAATGATTCGTATGTTTTCCAAACCGGTAAAAATAGAAGTCCTTTTTTAAAATTAATATATTATTTAAAGGTGGCCGTTAAAATCTAATGACTGTAAAATAAAGTATAAATTACGCCAAGAATTACTGTATATGTCAATATTTTATTTGCATTTAGGCCAATTTGACCAATCTCCTTTATTTCAACCGTAAATAAATATATAATACTATTAAGTTTTTATGGAGTGTTTTTGAATTGTATCAAGGGTGTAGACTACTGCCTAGTTTGGACTCCAGTCTCCCACCGACACTTTGATGTATGTAAATTAATAACCTTTGCATACTAAGATCAGGGGGCCAATCGCCTAACAGAAATGCTTTGGAAAACGCTAACGCTTACGATATTATTTTGTTATTTCTAGCCGCCTGAGGTATTCAAATGCCTCGCGCTCTTTCTTTTTCTTTTGCATTGGTAATAACAATATTAAAAAAATGAGCGTGAGGTATTCGAAAACCTCAGGCGGCTAGAAATAACAATATAAAATCGTAAGCGTTAGCGTTTCCCAAAGCATTTCCGTTAGGCGATTGGCCCCCTGTTGATGTTTGTGGGGAGAAATAAATAAATAATTACTATTATGATAATGTTACATCAGAAATGATGTAATCCGACAGAGAACCAGAGTCACCGACATAGCCCACCGAATTAGCAAACTGAAGTGGCAGTGGGCTGGTCACATTAGCCGCAGAACTGACGGCCGATGGAGCCGTAAAGTTCTTGAGTGGAGACCGCGACTCGGTAAACGTAGTGTGGGACGCCCTGAGACAAGGTGGGATGATGACATTCGTAGGCTGGCTGGAGTGGGCTGGATGAGAGTGGCAGAAAATCGGGAGCAGTGGCGTGCATTAGGAGAGACCTATGCCCAGCAGTGGACGGGCATGGGTCGATGATGATGATGATGATGATGATGATAATGTTTATTTCCAGGATCGTAACAACGCGCAGCCGTCGTGCGCGGGCCTGTTCGTGCTGGCCCAGCTGGGGTTCGACTTCCCCGGCGCCTGGTTGCACGTCGACATGGCGGCGCCTGCTCACTGCGTAAGTATACTTCATCATCATCAGCCTATTAATGTCCCCACTGCTGGAGCACAGGCCTTCCCTATGGATGGAATAGGGAGATTGGGCCATGACCCACCACGCGGGCCCAGTGCGGATTGGTGGGTGCTAACGACTGCTGATGCAGCCGGGACCAAAAGCTTAACGTGCCTTCCGAAGCGCGGAGGAACTCGAGATAGAAGGTTTTTGGTCACCCATCCAATGACCGACCACTGTGAAAGTTGCTTAAAATCAACGATCGCAGCCGAACGCGCTAACTACCTGCGCCATCGAGCTCCTCTGTAACCTGTAAGTATACGTAAAAGGAAAGATTTTGCTGTACAAGCGCCCTTAGTATGTGTTTTGGACTCCTTTTACAATTTACTTTTTTATTGATTTGTAACATTTTTCCTCTCGCTTTCCTGCAATTTGTTGGAATGATTTCGTGAAATGGGACGGAAGTGTGTAACAGGAAGTCGCGAAAGCGCGCGCCCAGTTGATTTGATTTTAGAACATAATGTTCAAATGGCTTATTCCTTTTGTAGTATGTTTTATTTCTTTTTTTACTTATATAAGGTTTCAAATGTTACACATCATACGCGACTACTGTAGGCTGGCTCGTTTTTTTTATTATTATATCATGTCATTTTTATTATTATCATAACATATAATTAGTTTTTTTTCTTGTCATTAAATTAATGACAAGAAAAAAGTGCGCATGCGGCTGACAGAAAAGTGTTTTTATAGTGTAAGAGAGTTTTTGACAAATTAATGATAATTATATGTTATGACAATAATAACATATAATTGCAGTTTTCTTGTCATTAATTTAGAAGGCCCGCATTTAAACTGCTTTCGGATTTTATAATTATGTCTTAATACACATTGCATAGCAACCCTTTTGGAACAGTGAAGTGTTTGGGCAAAAGTCTAATACAAGTCTATCCTTACCTCTTGTATTTCGAGGATATTTATCCTTAGCACGCTTAAACAATTCGGAAAGCAAGTTCTTCTTCTTTTTCTTTTTTGTGGCAAGCACGGTTTGTGCGTTCAGCCAATGTCGGAAAGCAAGTTAACAAATTTAATTCTATTTTTTTAAGATACTACCTTTTTAGGAAAGGCAAAGGGTACAATGCCCATACAGCCTAGTCTTTAGTTATATTCAACTTCTATTTTTTACATAACAATGTCGGTGTGACGCATTCTAATGTTTCTTGGAGTATCTGGCACGAAATGCATCGAGTTGGCTTTTTGGATAAGCTTCTGTGAGGTATTTAATACTACAGTAAAGTTCTCACGTCCACTTGACCAGAATAGCGTATAGTTTAAAGATTCCACTAATTTTTCAATTGCGCAGACGGTTGTAACACAAAATCACACCAATTTTATTTCACAATATCCATTATCAACGAATTTAAGAATAATTAAAATAAAACGCCAACTGCACTCGATGAAATCCCACCAAAAACTCCGTTGATTCTATTCTTATTTATATGTGTTATGTTGAACGTTACAGGGTGAACGAGCAACCGGTTACGGAGTAGCGCTCCTCACCGTACTATTCGGGGCCCACACCGAAAACAAACTCTTGAAAGCTATGTCGCCACTATCCAAAGCTTGATATCGGTCTATTACTGCCCAATGTTGCCAGATTCTAGCAAACGGAACTAGAGGAATTAATGTTTCCTCCTTTTTTACTTATATCGATAAATTGGGCTAATTTCTTGCGCATGGCATGATTATTTGGTACTGGTAATACTAAAGCGAAAGATCGACTATTTTTTAGCCCATTAAAGTTCAGCAATAGCGGACAATAAATAAATATTATTGTAATGAATTTTGCTTGTAGGTAATATACACCAATGTATTCAATAAATTTTCGTAGATTTTGTAAGTACCTATGTATTTATCGCCACAATTGAACATTTGATAGCACTATAACATTATTATGAACTTTTTAATTTTCTGTGCATGTTTTACTTAACAATTGTAGTACAAAGGTTAATAATAATAATAACTCAATGTTTTCGTTAAATTTTTTCACGCTGCTACTACATTTTCAATTTTACCTGATTTTATTTTAATAATCATTAATAAATTTAGTAGCTAACTAGTTTTAAGCAAACTGGAGGAATGGATGTTAGATTTGTGTTTGTAAAAGTGCTATTCTACAGCCTATGGAGAAGTAATTATGTTTCCTAAAAGTAACAATTTAATGGGTATTTATCTTTTGCTTTTCGTACTTTATCAACATCTGTCCCCCTAAGATGAGCTCCACGGTATAATTAAAGCTTTTTATCAACACTCAACTCAAACTCCATTTTAGTTTGACCGCCATTGGTGTCGATTCTAGCATGATTCTCTAAACCTAAACTTATTTACTAATTAGACAACAGTATATCCTTGTCATTCTCTATATAGAATGAAAAGGAGAGACTGATGTTAAATTTAGATTTAAGTTTAGAGAATCACGCCAGAATCGGCACCAATGTCGATAAAACGCTTTATCGATATACCGTATCGATCATGCTAGGGGTGCAGTCATAGTTAAATATCTTTTTATATTACCATTTAATATCGTTTTATGGATGAATTGACCCATAAAGTTTCGCTAATACATTGTTTTCAGTTACTCTAACACTGGTGTCAATTCTGGCGTGATTCTCTAAACTTAAAACTAAATTTAACATCAGTCTCTCCTTTTCATTCTGTATAGAGAATGACAGGGATGCACTGTTGTCAAATTTAAGTTTAGCTTTAGAGAATTATGCCAGAATCGACATCACTGCCGTAATAATTAACATATAACATGATTCGTATATTTTTAAGCAATAAGTGAAAATGTGTTCGTTAGAGCCAAAATATTATAAATTGAAGTTAATTTACCGTACAAGAATAACATAGGTAGTAAGTACGTATTGTTTTTCATTTATGAAGCATTTTTGTGTTTTCTTGCTAAAATAAATATATATTTAGATATTTTGGTATTATCATTTCATGCTTTAATTTTCCTCAGTCTTAAAATTTTAATCGCCTGTATTGATTTCAGTGGAGCTTTATTTAAAAAAAACAGGATGGCTGTGGTAGAGCCCTTTTTAAGTGTGATAATAAAATTCTTTTAACTTTTTTATAGTCACACACATCATCTCAAAGGTTATATAAAAATCTTTTTATGTACCTCGTTTCCTCGAAGAGGTATCATAATATGATGCATAGTGCGGGTGAGCACTATTAGAGCAGTGTTTTCTGTGAAAATTCGGTTACCTAACCGGTTGCAGCCATTTTCGAGTATGGCCATGGATGCTCCCCGTACACCATGAATACGGTCATTATTTCGTAAACTAAAGAGCCACTATTTACGCAGATTTATATATAAAGACAGAAAGCTAAGTGCACTCTTCATAAGGCGTTATATTTTCACCTGAAATACAAATAATTATTTCAATATGACATCAAAAAATACAGTGAAATAATTATAAAAGGTTGTACGTTTAACCGTTACCAACGAGCTTATGTTAAACTCTTCAATTATTCAATAAAATGTTCAGCCAATAAGCTGGAATCGAATAAGACTCCTGGGAATTATACTAGAACTACACAAGACATATCCACTGAGTCGCTCAAGGAAGGAAATTGTGTAGTTCTATTTGGTTTAATACCAATTACATTTCGTACGTTGTTACACGCTGGGCAAGACCACGAAGAACGATATTCCATAATGCAAACTGCGCTGCTTTCACATTGAGCCATAAATAATGATATTTTTGTTTGCACAAATAACACCGAAAAAATACCAAGATCTACATGCACTTAATTTTTCAATTTTATTCATTATACTTCAGCAGTATTAAAAAAAAATTTTTGTAATTTTGCTTCAAAATAGGATTAACCAAAGAAAACAAAAAGACAAAAACGATATTTCAGAATGGTGTAACCACTCACTTGAATGGTGTAATTTATACAGATACGCCACTTCGTCGAGATTTAACAAAATAAACGTAATGTTATTTTTTTGCTGCTTAATATTGGAGGGCTTCTGCTCTATCTCATTGCATCTATTAACACGTGCTTATGCTAAAATACGAGATACATTTTTGAAATTGTTATTCCGTAACATCTTTATGTACGTATATAGAAGGTTGAGCATAGGCTTGGGTGCACCTAAGTCTATGTTTTGTGGAAATAAAACCACGCAAATTTATTGGTTAATTGTATTTATTTTTGTTGTTTTACCAATAATAATGCAGGGTAATAATAACACTAATGTATAAGCCCATAAAATCCAAAATATTGTATTAAATACACTGTAAAAATTTCGATTTTATAAAAATTCAAGTTGACAAAAATAAATGCACTTCATCAGCGCCTTCTACATGGCAACGTTTAATAATATTTTTGGCAAAACCTTACTTAATTATTATTACCATCTCGAAAAATAATTGCACAATGCCTTTTTATTGATAATTTCACTTAAGTTCCATAAAGTTTAAGTAATAAATAAATAAAATGACTCCGCAATCGCAATAATATTCAAAATAAATAGATTTCAACATTGGAAAGAGTACAATTATACTGAAATGACTAATTCATTAATACCTAATTAGAAGTAATCAAAAGCACATGACTACAGTATAAAAAGATAAATTAAGACCGGATTAGTCAGTCATTTTCCGTACGTACAATTTCTTGCCGATGATTTTTATGTTATAAAAATTACCTATGTGTTTTATAAAAAAATACATAAAATGGCAAGAGAGGCTATTGATTCATTGTGCAATTCATAAATCTCTGATGCCTGTCCCGTAGTTGGCTCCACCTGCTTTATTCAACGCATCCTTGAATTGGTCGATGTCTATTTCAGCTTGACTCTCCAGTTGTAATTCTACAGCAAAGTTCTGTAACAAAAATAAAATTACAATTACAGCAGATACAGAATCGATACGTAGTGACGAATGATAAATGTTCGTAGCCGAATAGGAAAATCGTAGTGGTTAACACGCACGTTCGGCTCAAAGCGCGGGAATTTGAAAATGACAAATATGTCAAACTGACAATTACAAAACGAACCGTCACTTTTTGTTAGTAGAATTCATTCAAAGCGTTTTCGTAATGTGTTTATTATCGTGAAAAATTATACGAAATGGAAGATCTTTTTAATAAAGTACCTTGCAGAGAAAGTCAATTAAACGATTTGTTCAATCTATTCGGAGAATACGATGAACCGTTACCTTGTTCATTATTTCTAAGTGGAAGTATGGGAACCGGTAAGACGCTTTGTTTGACTTCAGTTCTGCGATATTTGGGTTATAAACACGTTATAATTGATTGTATTGAATGTTATTCGCCAAAAATAATCTACGAAACGATATTGTCTGGACTAAACACTACCGAAACCGATAGTAAATGTGAATCTATTTTGGACTTTACGAATGCGTTAAATAGAATAGAGCTTAACCTAACACAATATCAACCCATCGTTGTGATTTTCGACAGAGCAGAAAGGCTACGTAATATGGATCAAAGCATAATTTGTGTGTTTCTACGACTGCGAGAACTTTGTAACCTCAACATCTGTACATTGTTAGTAACACATTTAGTTTATGATAGCTTTTACTTTAAAATGGGAGTTAGAGAACCGATAAAGATATATTTTCCAAATTATAATAAAGAGGAATTGTTTAAAATCATATTTTTACACCAAGAATCATTCACCCAATATGTATTGAGCAGTCATGAGGTTGACAAGGAAATTAAAACAGAACTGAATAAACCAGAGCTATTCGCTAATTTTCTAAATGCATTCCTCAGTGTTTTCTATAGACCGTGTCGAGATTTGATTGAATTGCAACACATGGCTCGGATTAACTTTGTAAAATACTGTGAGCCCATAATAAGAAATGAAATACAAGCTCAAGATTTATCAAAACTTTGGCGCCACATTTCTCCCATTTTGAAAACCAGTTTAGAGCTGTTATATCTTCGTCTAAGTTCAAACAAGTCATATAAACCTTCTCCTGGTAAGGAGAATACTGATAACATGGAAACAGTCAACTATAACTTTGAAAAAACATTAAAAGAAGAGCTTACTTGCACTAAGACATTTGCACAAAGTTTTGAATTGCCATATTATGCCAAATTCTTATTAATAGCAGCTTACCTGGCCAGTTACAATCCACCAAAAGAAGATAAAAGATTATTCATGAAAAACCATGGGAAACAGCGCAAGAGACTTCAACAAGTGAAAGCAAAAGCTAAAATAAATGAGAAATTGAATACTCAACTCGGACCAAAAGTATTTACATTAGATAGATTACTTGCAATCTTTTATGCTATTTTAGAGGAAAAAATTGGTTTGACTAGTAATCTGTTGGCTCAAATTGCAACATTGGTGGAACTAAAACTAATTGCTGGAAGCAAAGAAATTGATTTAGACACAGCAAAATATAAATGTATAGTTGGCTACGACTTCATATCTGCCGTTGCTCACACTGTTTCTTTTAATGTCAGAAAGTATTTGTATGATTTTATGTGATCAATACTGTTACCCACTTTATGTGTTACATTAATTTATTTAAAATTACATTTAGGAGCATTAAAATGTCTTTCATTTGATTGTACAATCTCTGTGTCAATGAAAGGCTAATTTTGTTTCATAAATGTCACTTAATTGCATACTTATTTTTACAAGGAAATTTTAGTACCATATAAATGCAAAACAACTTACGGAGATAATGTCTTTGATGATGGCTTTATCGGTGGACATCTTGGCTCTGTTTATGACGGATACATTCGGACCCACCCACGTGACGAACATGAACTTCTTGCGTTTCGACATCTCGTCACCCATTTGCAACCTGCCAAAGGCAAACTGTAAGCTTGGACACTCAAATGAGCATACCTACCGAAAGGCCTGTACTTGTGCAACTTTTTAGCATTCATGTCAACACTATTTAAGGATAACGTAGAACAAAGGAGGAGCTCGATGACGCAAACGCGTTTAGTATGCGATAATGGAAGTTAAGCAGCTTTTGCAAATGCCGACATCAGATGGGTGAGGAGCTCGTTGGAGCGGGTTGTTAGCGCGTTCGGCTACTATCGTTGATGTTGAGCAACTTTCGCAGTGGACGGTCATTGGATGAGTGACCGAAACTCATCTATCTTGAGCTCCTTCTTGCTTCAGAAGGCACGTTAAGCCGTTGGTCCTGGCTGCATCTGCAGTGGTAAGCACCCGCCAATCCGCACTAGGCCCGCGTGGTGGGTCATGGCTCAATCTCCCTATTCCATCCATAGGGAAGGCTGATGATGATGATGTTGGATAGGTAACCAAAATTGCATTACCTCGAGGATACTTTGTGGTTCGGAGGGTACGTTAAGCTGTTGGTCTCTGTTACATCTACAGTAGTTAGCATTCGCCAATCTGCACTGGGCCCACGTGGTAGGTTGTGTTATGTATGTCCCTATTCGGTTGTCACTGGCAGTCAACAAACTGCACAGCGCCCGCTTGGTTGATTATGGCGCGTTCTCCCTGTATGAGCTTTTGGTCAGGAAAAAGGCTAAGATTATAAAAAAAAATATTTTACCTAACGTAACCGAACGCGCGGTCATCGTCTGAGAACTGCGTGCGAAACTCTGTGAAGTCGCTGCCGTGGGCTGAGCACACTATCCGGGCGCCTTCGAACTTGAATACCGCCCTGTGGAGATAACAGATTAGTACTTATCCGGTAGAAGTATTGAATGTATTTAACTGTGACGACTTCTCATAAGGTCGCCTTTAATATCTAGACTTCGTTTCGCTGAATAAGATCACTCTTTTCCAGTTAAGCACTAAGGCCCGTATTACAGAATGACAACTAAGTGTTGATCTTTACTTGAGTACAGTTACAGAGGGATATCGCTATGTGCTTTATATAGCGACATCCCTTTCTAACTATGCTCAAGACTAGATCAATCACTGAGAATCTTACTTTATAGTAAGAAAACTAAAGTAAAGTTTTCAGTTTGAGTCGAAAACTATATGACTCCGATCTACCAGCTTACCGCACAATTCCCTTGATCAGAGTACCTTAAGTGCGAACTTTGAAAGATAAGAACCATAATCGGATCGCCATCGTTAAAATGCAAGGAGCCCTGTTCTTACGTCCGGTACCGGTAAGCTTAGTTTCTATAGAAAAGAAGAATTTAATAACAGCGTTGACTTATTTCATACATCGAACATACTTCAAGACTAGGTACTATTAGGTATTGTTATATTATTCAAAATCTCTTAATTGGCGAGGTCCCAATCCTAAACGGGCATGTTGGTAAAAGCAGATTAATCCTAAACAATTATTTTTATTAATTCTAAAGTAACACTGTATGTCTGTCTGTCTATTACGATTTCACGTCTAAACCGCTTGACCGATTTTGTTGAATTTTGGGATCAAGATAAAGGGGAAGGAAGGACAGGACTACATGTTATCGCGAAAATACTATTTGAAGCAAATCAAATAAGGGATGAAAGTTGATATTGTAGCGGAAACTATCTAATAGACTTATTAAATAATGACGAACCGACAAAAAAATGGCGACTGCTCTAGAGTATCTGAATATTAATTATGTTTCTTGACAATTCATACTAATAAAAACATCTTAATAAGGTGAGTCGTAATGCACACCTGGCCGATAAACAACCGAGTGATCCTAAAAGGGTTCCGTTTTGCCTGATTGAGGTACGAAACCCTAAAAATTAAGGATGTTGGTTCTTTGACTTGGGCTGAAATCGAAATCTTTACTTGTTACCGCTTCTCTGAGTGGCAATTAGATGAAATGGAGCTTTTGCAAATGGTGATAAAATTACGGTGAATATTATAAGCTCATTGATCAAACTATTGAAAATAGAGCGGCGTAACGCCACAAAACTGTTGCTCTCAAAACTGTCATACACGCCAAAAATTGTTAATTAACAATCAAACTAATATTATAAAGGCGAAAGTTTGTTAGTGTGTGAGTGTGTACGTTTGTTACTTCTTCACGTCTAAACAGCGGGAGCCATTTTAATATGGTAAGGAGTTAGCTACGATTTACTGTGGGAAAACATCCCTAATAAACCGTGGGTAACAACGCGGGGCACAGCTAGTTATATAATAATAAATATTGGACACTTTCACAGCAATCAACTATTCCTAAAGTATAGCTTTTGCTATGGCTGCTTCACAGCGTAGAAATAAACATACATATCTATTACATGACAAGTTTTTGAACGGATCCATCACACACAAAAAATCTTCCGGGATTCGAACCCGGTGATTCGTAGTTAAAAGCTTTAACCGTTAGGCTACTACAACGGTCTCACAGATGTTTGATGTCAAAAAAATCTGTCGACACGCGCGTTGAATGAGTGACCGGGTGTAAAAAGGAATACCAGACACAGATACAATGGGCCCGATTTTGGCATGATCCTCTCAAAACTTAAAAATAAATTGACGACCCCCGTAGCTGAGTAGTTAGTACACCAGGTTTCAATGTGTCGCCTACTCTAAGGTCAAGGTCCACCCGGGGGTTCGAATCCCAGTGGGGCAAATGTTAGTATGATGAGTACCAGCATTTGGAAAAGTCATGGATGTTAATATATCTTTCTATATAAATATACTTATGTATTATATCTGTTACCCTAGTATCCCATAACACCAGCATTACAGTGCTTACTTTAGGGCTTGGTTATTTAATATAGACATCAGTATCTCCTTTTATATGACAAGGATACACTGTTCTCGTATTTCATTTTCGGTTTTGAGAATCATGCAATATGGACGTTAGCCCGGGAGCTTACCATTCTGTAGGTGAGGTGTCGGAGCGGACGTCCTCGTACGCTGCCCGTATCGTGTCTCGATCCAAACCGGTCGTCATGGTTACCTGAAAAAAAAAGACGATTCGCTATAGGAAGCTTGCGTGAGCAACACACTACTGGTTGACACAACAACAGGATTGTAACAATGTATCATTCTATGGATGTAGTGGGTACAAGCCATTTGGAATTAAATAATTTTATTACATAAAGTTTCTAGTTTTCACTATACAATATTAGACAAAAATCTGGGCTACATTAACCGGGGTTTAAGAGGCACGATCAATAAAGAATTTAAAAATTAATCTATGAATTCTTGGCTTCCTTGTTGCTTGTAAATAAGCCAAATTAATTTATCCACCGTCCTATAATAACTGCATCTATTCTTCATGGGTCACGTTTTCTCCCATTCTGATATTGATTTAATTAGGCAACGAGTCTCGGTCATCGCAAAAGAATGAAGGCTCTCAAAGTATCATTCGGTAGGACTTGACAACTTTTGCCTGTATAAAACGCAACAGATGGAAGCGGTTGGTTGATAGAATGACGGAGTAAATGTGTTAATTTGGGTACATATTGTGCAAAAAGGAATTAAGAAAACAATAATTTCCCTATTTTTCATCTTTAAAGAATTCAAAGTACCTAAATGAAATATCTCTTTAATTAAACTTGTAAACAACGACAATCAGGGCCGGATTTAAGACAGGACAGGCGAAGCTGTGGTCCCACAAGAGATAAATTTTTCGACGGTTCACTAACCATGGGGATGCGATTCCTAATTGGCACCGGGTGCTAGATTTTAAAATACACCTTTGTTAATGGGGTCCTGATTCCTTCGCTACCCCAGGGTCTCCACGCCTCTAAATCCAGTCCCGACGACAACGATAAATGCTTTTACTAACTATAGGGTAGAGCTAGGGGTATTTTTTTTAAAGAAGTACAGTATATCCATGATTTTGTTTCGGTATTCAGAAAATGAAAGTTGTACGGGACTCCCATACCTTCGAGGAACACGAAAAGCCCGAGTGGCAAGACTCCACATCGTGAACATCTTCGCTAGGGCAAGACTCGTCTTCCTTGCCTTCTTTCACTGAACTGTTAATTTCGTCTATCCTACCCGTAAGCACTTTAATCTCTGTTTCCAGTTTTCTTCTGTCCGTGACTGCTTCCTCCAAAGACTCAATTTTCCCCGACACTTGAGCCAACACCTTACGCAGTTCTTCGACGATTTTAGACAACATCTCAAACTTTGCTAGCATGTTCGTCTGATTCTCTGACAATTTGTTTATCTGGTGTTGGACCTCCTCGCCGGGCTCCATTGTTTCTTTCGTTTGCACTTAATTTCTATTTTAACATATTACGTGGAACTTTAATTTGCAAAAATTAAATAATACTGTTGTGGCTTGAATAGGTATAGTTTCCCTAAAATCGTGATTTTGACGGCTTTCGGTTGACATGCGTGACAAAAGTCTATTTTATTTTTGCTGTTAGTAGAAAGGAGTGCCAATCTAACTGCACATAATGTTTTACAAATATTTTGTCTGGTCTGACTTATTTTCTTTCAAGTTATCTATGATTTAGCGTAAAGTAGGCCAGTAAAATTACCGAAAAAGAATGTGCTGATGTTGTAGTTTTTAGTGAGTATTGTAGAGTTACGTATATAACTTACTAGCCGTGCCCCGTGGTTTATTAGGGATATTTTCCCGCATTAAACCTAACCTATGTGTTAATCCAGGGTCTCAGCTAAATCCATACCAGATTTTATTAAAATCGCTCCAGTCGTTTAGACGTGAAGAAGGAACAAACATAGACACTCACTACAAAACTAAACTTTCGCCTTTATAATATTAGTGTGATAAGTGCAGAATAAAGAAGTTAATACCTATATGACTTTGTAACTGAGATGCATTGCAGGTTAATAAAAATACCATATCATCACGATAAGACTCTTAAGAAGTAAATAAACCAGTACCGTAATGTTGAATTTTCAGCTCCTACAGCTCTGAGCAAGATCTAGATCTTAGCTATTGTTAAAATCTTTAATTGTGAAAAATTCCAAGAAGAATCATCATCAGTAAGACTTTCTGCACCGAATGCAGTGTCGCGAGATCAATTAAGAAATACCAGCGGATTGGTGGGGCGCAAAAAAAAATGCGAAGTCTCCGCGATCCGAGCACCGTGAAGATCCGACGTCTCCGATCACTTTCAATTCAGTGAAAACTGGACACAAAAACTGGAGCAGCGAGACGCTACGAGTCGTAAAGTTAACAAATGAGCTATACGCTTCATTACAATGGAACAGTTTAATTTGATTTTAATTAGTATTGCGATAACATTTAATGTCGAAAATAAATTGCTCATCCAAAGCGTCGTTAAGATGAATCTTAAACTGAATGATGAAATGAATTATGTCTGATGTCGTTTGAGTAGTTAAGAGTTACGTGATAAGAAAAACGTTCTACGTGAAAATCATTCATGCAAAAGAAGGCTAAATTGAATAAATCTGAATAATGCAAGGCGTAATCTTTTCGTAACTTTCAGCACCTAAATTAATATAAGCAATGTACCTACATAGGGGTACAGTAGTTTTGGAATCCGGGAGACAGTCAGTGAGATAGGAAGCCTGTTACTATGGCCTTCTCGTCAACAATTATACCTGAACAAGGCCAAATGTGGTATCGTTGTGGTGTAACCAGGGTATAGCAAAGGAAGTGACATTTATATTGGTATTTTTATCTTTCTTCAGAACACCCTGGAGGAATATGGCGTGAAGTTATGTCAAAGGAATGGCAGGTCGATAAAACCCCAATTAAAGCGACGTAATGAGAGAAAATGAGGCAATAGAATGTGATCACCGTAGCTATAGGAAAACGACACACGCTATAGGACAGTTCGTTAGGGAAGTGTGCAAGAGTTTGTGAAAACATTAATGGATTGGATAGAATCCTCCATTTCGCTTTCTCAAATTTTATGAATCAAGCTTTATTAGAATGGACTCAAAAGTTTACGCTCCTAACAATTTTCTGAAAATGTTATATAATTTTTTAACTATAATTGTAAGCTAAGTTCCTGCTCGTCATATTTTTTATTTTGATAATGAACTGTAAATACAAATTTCTGCCTCCCCCGTTTCACCCTCTTGAGGATGATATCTGGGATAAAAAAAATCCTATGTCCATCCCCAGGACTCAAACTATCTATATATACCAATTTTCATCTAACTTTTCCAGTGGTGGTAATAGACAGACAGACAGACGCACTTTCGCATTTATAAAGATTTACATATTACCATACCTACATTGTTTGTTGGTGTACATGGTGGATAATTTTAAAGAATTGCTCGTCCATATCCATAATTTACATTTATTACAATAAATTTCTATTATGATAAATTATGAGAATTACACAATAGAAAAGGGTGAAAGTTTCTTAATTAAGTAATACATCTTTTTAGTAGGTACCTTTGTTACCGTAGGTTCGTTATACATGTTAGTAAAAGTACATATTTCGTGCTGTGTTTTTGCAACATGCTTTTTCGAACGACATAATATTACAAAATTCATATTCCCATTCTACAACAATTGAAAATTATTAAAATTTTATTTAGGAATCAAATAAACTAATAACATTAGATTATTTTTATGTAGATTCATAAACAACTCAGGTTTTAGGGTTTCTGAACCCAAAGGTTTAGTTTGTCAACTGTACCCCTAGCACGAACCATTATCGAATTCGAATAGTTTGTGAGTCCGAAATATCATTGTCAAATGTGTACTCATTTATAGTTCTCGTAACGTACTTTGTGGCGCTACTGTTCAAGTTTCCATATAAAATTTGACATTGACATTTCGCACTTGCAAACTATTCGAATTCGATAATGGTTCGTGCTATTAGTATATTAAGGCAGAAAGCGGAGGTATAGGTACCTATTAGTACCTATACCTCCGCTTTCTGCCTTAGGTAGGGCATCCTCCTCTCCATCTCCTGAATTTTTATGCGTAAAATATTGAAACGATACGCAACGCCACACTGTTTATATATGAATTCTCGATCTATTTTAGAATTTGCATTGCACAGAACCCTCCGTTTGCTAGTTCGACTTGCACTTGGCCTTGCTCGATGCCAGCTACCGCTTAGCACGAACACAATTACGTTACAATACTATTAGTTTGCGAGTCCGAAATGTCAATGTCAAATTTTGTATGGAAACTTGAACAGCAGTGCCATAACGGACGTAAGAGAACTAAAAATCAGTACACATTTGACAATGACATTTCGGACTCGCTATTCGAATTCGATATTGGTTTGTGCTAGGAGTACCGTATTGACCAATTTTATCGAATGTTTTCTTAGCTATCGTTAAGTATTATTATTTTCATATATTGAAATTGTTGTTGATATAAAATAAATATCTGCCGTAAGTTCCAGGAAAACTGGGTTTATTGGCTTGGCTTGGAGTTATTACTGATATTATAAAGCTGTCTCCGTTGTCCGCCTGTTGACTAATTCGGGTTAATATTAGACATCCTGTTTATACTAATAGGCATAATATGACGTGTTCAACTACCTACCTAGAATTACTATGTTGTTGCTATGCTATCTACAGGACAATAACAAACATCTTGTTCACGAACTTTATTTTACATCTATATATATATATAACTCAAAGGTGACTGACTGATATGGTGATCTATCAACGCACAGCCCAAACCACTGGACGGATCGGGCTGAAATTTGGCATGCAGGTAGATGTTATGACGTAGGCATCCGCTTAAAAAGGATTTTGATCAATTCTACCCCCAAGGGGATAAAATACCGAAGCGAAGGGCCACTAGTTGGAATTATAAAACTGGGGCATACACAGCGTGGCGGGAAATAATAAAAAGAAACAGCAGCTTCAATAATTTCCCTCGACAACTGCAAATTCAAAATTTTATTAAAGTACCTACTTTTAAAGTAGATAATATTAACAATATTTCGAGATTAGGTTTAAGTCATCAACAGCTTATTAATGCCTGCACTTGTTCAGTGGTACGCAAACAAACAACGCAGCAAGTTGCACTTTTTA